TTAAAAGGCCTTTTCCATGGTCCAACTTTTGGACCTTTCTTTTGCTTCCATTGCTTCTTCTTAGTCTTACTAGAAGAAGCTGCAAAAACATCCTCTTGCCCTTTTTCCTTTCTTCCCTTCTTATAAAACTGTTGAATCTTATTCGACAGTTCTGCAAGAGTGTGCTCAATCCTATTGAGATTATAATTTGTGATGAAGGGCTTGAAACTTGGTGGAAGGGATTGCATAATCAAATTCACCTCAAGACTGTGTGGCATCACAATCTCAAGTGTACGCAATTTCCCTATAATATTACTCATTTTCATAACATGATCATCTGGGGCAACTCCCTCCCTAAGCCTCATTGTGAATAGTGTCAAACGCAATTCGTATTGCTTCACCACTAAGTTCTCACCAGACAACTCTTGTAAATGGATCATTATCTCATTCGTACTTTCCATCTTTTCATGCTCAACCTGGAGCTCAGCATTCATTGATGCTGGCATGTAGGTTCGAGCTCGTAATTCATCCTCCTACCACTTATCGAAAACTTCCTTTTCTTGCATTGTGGCATCAGGAGACAAAAAAAGTGGAAGGGGTGCTTCCAAGACATACCCAGCCTTTTCGGAATTGAAAATAATTCTCAAATTCCTTAACCAATTATTAAAATTAGGTTCGATCAGCATGTTGTTATCGAGAATCCTCAAAAGCAAGTTATTGCTCATTTTCGTTAACTAAATATCACAAAATACCGAAAGAGACTACAAGGAAAAATATAAGTTTTATTAGTGTCTTGTAAATTCAAACCCTTTAATGCTAATCTTATTAGCTCCCACTATTTTATTCAAATCTCATATTCCCCTAAATGATGATTTGGAAATTTCGTTGGAATAAATTTCTAGTGGGGAATCAAATTCTTATTAAACTTAATTAAACCTCACATAATAGAAATCTTGGTCAATTAAATTTAACAAGTAGGAAACTATTTCTTTTTATATCACTATATAAGGTATGATTCAATCCTTGACTCTAATTTTGGATACCTAACATAATAGAAATCTTGGTACCCTAGACTAGTTAAATCCAACCCATTATGCTTTCTTAAAATAGAATTCCCATTATACCCTCACATAAGAGAAATCTTGGGTATTATGAAAATTTCTATCCAAGAACTAAGACAATTAATTCCATGTCATAAAATTAGCATCCCTCACATAATAGAAACCTTGGGATCTCTAATTTTATGCCAAAGAATTAATTGGCCCATAATGGAAGGCTTGGATCTAATATTGTTTGTTAGGGAGATTATTAGGTTTAACCTTTGATTAAAAAATGTTTTACATTTATCGCTTACATTAATTCAAATGCATCCATATAAATATAAAAGATGGTGGGATGATCATGGGGTTTTGGAAAATACACCCTAATTAGGTAAACTATTCACCTAATTCTATTACTCCTTGCAGATCTTCATCCAATGATTGATCTGATCTCCATCCTCCGTCTGGCCGTACGATTACATAAACCAATTTAGGACACGCAGGCCTAGATAACAAACTAATAATAAAATTAATTATTATTTCAAGCCATTGAAAGAATATTACATGCCCAAATATCAAATATTTTTGGGAAAAATAAATATACACCATGATCATCCCCTAATTAATATTCATCCATCACATTAATAACTATTAATTCAATCAAGGGCATATAAATAAATATTTATGCAAGTTGCAATATTTATAAATAAAGGACTTCATGTAATAAATAAATAAAAACATGCCATGATTGAACAAATGGTACATGCATAATTTTACTACCCTTAAACTTATAATATCATTATATTATCTATCACATGAATATATATATATATATTTCATGCAATAAATGTATAAAATATGTCATGATTAAACCAAGGGTACATGCTTAATTTCATCACCATAATATTTATAAAAAATATTATATTACCCATCGCATTAAAAAAATCTCTCACATCACATTCAATCAAATAAAATAAAAAAAATGCAAATCTATGCATCATGCACCGATTTTTACTCAAAGATGAATCAACCAACTTGCATTCACAATACAATCTAAGTCAAATGCATTTATAGACTATTGTATCACATATAACACTTTCAAATATGCATTTAAAATATATTATTCATTTGAATCAGTTTTGACCGAATTCATCCCTTCTCAAAATCATCAAATTTGCATCAAATATGCTTATATTACACATGCATGTATCATATGAATGAGACATATTCATATTTAACAAAAATGCATCAAGATGCAATAAATCAAACATGCATACTACATATGACTTCAAGAACAAGAAATTTTGTATTCTAAATATCAAAATTTCATAGAAGCATGTTAATAAGCATGAATATCACATATCCATCATCATTTGTATTCAAAATACACAATAACTTCAACATGCATCTAAAGCAAAAACATATTCATGTCCAAACCAAGTCATTTTTCACCAAAAATGCTACATGCATGCATGAATTTAAACATGCTCTAATACCATTGTTGGGATTCATGCATTTTGGACATGGAAATGAAGAGAAAATGATAATCAAGATGATGGACATAAGATAGAAAACAAACCATCATAACATTAACATATTAATGTAAGAAAAGGATAGAAAATTACTAACGCCTTTTGCTATTAAAAGCTTGATATTGAAACTTGGAGTCTAGATTCTTCAAAAGAAAATGAAGAAACTCAAAATGAAGTCCACCCAAGTCAAAGATGAGAGAGCCGAGAGAGTGAGAGAGAAAGTGAGAGATTGCTTTTTGTTTCAATTGATTCAATTCAATTAAAATGGTATATAAAACTTAATTTATATACCATGGTACAAAATGTAATTTTAAATTGTTTTGGGAAGGCCTCAAACAATTTAAAATTAACTTGAGAATAAACATTTATGTCAAGTCCTTGGTTTTATGGTTAATTCATAATTAGACAAAATTTTAATTCTATTAAAAATTCTAACCCTTTAGAATAAGACCAATCCACTTTTGCCCCCATCATTGAATCCAATTCAATAATAATATTTAATAAATCCTTATTACCCTTGGTTAGTGCTAACTATCCATGAATAATCATTTATCATCAATACATTAATTCGGATGCAACCGTTTACGTCCGAACATCATTAATCTGATTAATGATATGTATTATTCTCTCTCCTTGAGCTTGGTTTTATGTGTGACCATTTTGGTTCACTATGATCTAGTCGTGGGCCCAATAACTGATTTTGATATGTTTCGTTATAATTCTTTATAATCGAAACTCCCACTGATTATGGTAGACGTCTAGCAATGTTCCATAACCCCTAAACAACAATAAAGTGTAAACTCCAATGAACCTATTCTGATCGTACGTACCGTGTAGACAAATCCCTCTGATATATAATCCCGATTAAGAATGGTTCATGTTATGTCAAAACCTTTAACTTAATCTTTAATCGAATTGTCAATCGATACAATGGAACTCGTCAACATGAAACTACTTTTCATCTGACATTCATTATACTCTGGCCAGAGATTTCCCTTTTCCAATGTTTATTGACATTCATCTGGGAACTCGAGATTGGACTATTTTGAGTTAACGGACCCCATCTTGACCATCACTTGTCCTCGCACATGGATAACATATGACCAAACTGACTTATTACACAAGACATGACTAGTCTCATGCTTATACACCATATGAACCATATGCATCATCTGTTGAATCCAATCGTGATGTCCTAGGTCTAAGGATAAGTGGAACACTAGCACGATCCTACGATGCATCATTGATCATATCCATGTGATTCATCGTAATCGGTCATATTCGATAAACAGTTCACTAACCGTTTATCCATGCTATTGCCTTAGTGACATACCTCTTATAATCACCCACACTAATACCATCACATGATATTCAATGGAGACATTCAATATGCCTACTATGTAATGTTATTGCCCAATTAACATTACTTACATAGGGAATTCTTTTGATGATTTGATCTTCTGAAGATCTATGTCATCCGGACATTTCACATGCAATATTAAATATAATATAATATAAATGAAGCAGAAAATCAACATGTGAAAAAAGAACACTTTCTTTTATTTATAATACATTTACAAGATATAATGTCATGAAACCGACAACACGATTGGTTCCTAAGGCATATACTAACACCTGTTACAATCTATGTAACACATGAAATGCCATCAATAAATACTATGCAAAGGGAGATAATAAGCATTTGTTCCAAACAAGAGATGAATGGATAACAGATAACGTTTCTTCTTATATTTAGTCTTAGTTTGCTATGCCTTCCCTCATATTCTCAGCTATTGTGTTGGGCGCAAAAATCAGAATGTTATGAAACATTTTGGAGGTTCTGCTGGAGAGCACGCCTAGAGAGATTGATGCCACTAGACTAGAGAAGGGGCTTTGACAGATGGATGAGGTTGTTGCCATCCACGAATTACACATTTGGGGAATAACAGTTGGGAAAGCGTTACTAGCGTGCCATGTCAAAATAAAGCCCGATGCTGATGCTGACATGGTTCTAGACAAGGTTATCGAGTATATTAGGCGAGAATACAACAGCAGCCAGGTGACTATTCAGATAGAGCCCCAGTAGGCAGTAGTTCTGAGGAGAGATGACTGGGTATGTGGTGTTTTTCTGGGTGGGCCGGGTGTCAGTTTTTAACTTTTCAAATTCTTTTACACCAGTTAAATGATCACATCAACTATGGATTTGGCTGATTTATATTCCTTTAGCATACATATAGGTGGTGTTGACTGTTGAGGGATAATTTCTTATGCGTTATATCAATTACTCTCTTCAATCTTCCTTTTTCTGTTATCGCTTTGATCATTTGCCAGTTAGATTCGTTAAATAGGTTTGAATGGGCTCAAATTCAATGCCCTGTTAAAATCAGTAAAATTATGCTTCTGATACATGAACATAAGACAAGCCATAATGACAGTAGAGGAAACTACTTCATATAGATTTATAGAACTCTATAACTGAGAAATTAAATGCAGAACATGGCACTTGAATATGAGAATACCATGCGTCTTCTCCCAAACTTTGAAATTCTTTTCTTGTCCTATCCTTTCCCCTCGAATTCATGTTCATCATGAGCATATCTAACTGAAATAAGCTTTTTGCAGCAAGAATAGTTTCAGGGGCCTCTGGTATTACTAAATCAACTTTCCCATGGGCTGGTAATGCTTCATGGCAATTTTTTAGTATCTTCACGCAGTGCTTATCGTCCCAACTGTGTAGCATCCACTGTTTCATACAAATTCTGTATTGATTAGCTCTAAATTGAATTGAATAAAATGTTAGGATCCCACATTGAAAGGGAAAAGGGTGGACACGTGGGTTATAAAGGTTTGGGCACCCTTCCTTGACAAACTGGTTTTCTAAGGAGAGTTTTACCCAAGCCCATGAAAGACTCATGACCCAACCCAAAGTGTTGAGTTATTGGAATGAGTTCCTATCAATTGGTATCAGAGCATGATCCTGCACACGTATGGCAGGCTGACCTTGGGCCTGGGTTGCTACCCCAAGGAAAGGAGATCCGCGAAGTCACTCAAAAGGTAAAGAGGCCCATGTAGCAGGGCCTAGTGGGCCCCCCGAGGGGTCGAGAAGGAGAGTTGTTGACAGGCTTCTAGGCAAGGTAAGACCCAAAGGGAGGGCAATAAAGGCCGATGAGGGCGAGCGCTCTATGGAAGGAAGACCAACCAAGGAGTTGGGTCTCGAAGCGTGGGAGAATGTTAAGATCTCACATTGAAAGGGAAAAGTGTGGGCATGTGAGTTATAAAGACTTGGACACCCTCCTTTGGCAAGTCGGTTTTCCAAAGAGAGTTTTACATAAGCCCATGAAAGACCCATGACCTAGTCCAAATTGTTAAGTTATTGGAGTGTCTTCCTATCAATAAAACAAACTATAAATTGAAATGAATACTTGGATTCCTACGACTTCAAAAGTATCAACCAAGTCATTAACAGAAATCATTTAAATTGTTCTAAAATAATCAAGTCTGATATCTGCAAACCTTTACGAAAATGGCTTCTCCTTTTGGAATGTCTACGAAGATATCCCCTGCAACATGCTCCATACCTGCAACAACATTTGTTCAAATATCAAATATGTAAAACTGGTAACCTTTTTGGAACGTTTCAGTATCATAATCAAACATGTAAAATAAGTCAAAAAAGTAAAAAATTTCTTTATACAAATTGAAAAATCAAATCGAATTTTCTACGGGTAGTTAGCAGTAAAGTAGATCAAAACTTTCGGCTCATTATAGTCAAAGAAGATAAAGTGCAGTTGATAAGTCTACGTACTATGAGATCAGAAACAAAACCTAAAAGTTCATACCAGGATAGGAAGTGGACTTTTCAATAATTGAAGGCAGATCGTAGTTGACACACTTAATTGTAGGATATTTGAATATGATCATCTTAAGGATAGAACCACCGCCACCAGGGGCGGACCCAGCCCCTTGGGCCAACCCTCACATTTTTTTCTTTTTTTTTAAATTGTTTATATAGCCCACCAAAAAATTCTATTAATATATATATTCAGGCCTACCTTCAAATTTAAATATATATATATATATATCCAGATTCATAAAAAACTTACTATTAATATATATATTACAGGCTTATATCATATTAAAAATTAAAACTCTCTCCACTCTTTTTTACGCCCACCTATTTTTTATGATTTTATCCTTAAAATTTTTTACTCTCTTATTCTCTCTTTCACTTTTTCTATGTTATTCGTTCTTAAAACTTTTGAAAACTGAATGGTTAAAGCTTTCACTAATCAAAGTGCCACAATTAGCTTCGTTTTCTGTTTTATCAATTTTAGCTATGTGTATTGCTCATTTCATTTTAGTTTATGTTAGAACAAAATCATACTTATTTTTTGAAGGTTTTTTATTCTAATTTAATGGAAAAAAAAATGTATGGATCTTGTGAGTTTGTTTTATGTTTTGTGTTTAAGAATGTTCTTGCTTTCCCAAATTAAACTTTAACTATATTTTACTGAATGTTATTCTTCACCTTTCACCCATTACTTTCCAATATTTCAAACGTTACTGTTTGATTGCTCAAAATTATTAAAGAAGTTTGAGTTATTATTTATGTTTATACTAAGAAAATTTTCCTTTTTTTTTATTAATTCATATTAAAAGTCAAGGCAACGTTGACTTAATTTAAGTTTTGATTGACTTTAGCTTAGGCTAAGCCTGATCAAAGTCATGAAAATTTATATTATAATCTTTGAAAGCCAAAAATTAAATAAATAATGATAATAAAAAGGAGAAATAAGAAATTTGTGTAAAACATTTTGGATAGATTGTGATTGTTGTAAACTCTTTTAATTATATTGGATTTAAGTAGATCGTTAGATTCTCATGGTCTTTTGCTCTCTTTAATTAAAGAGGTTTTTCCACATAAAAGTTTTCTTATGTTTCCTCATAAATTGGATATTATTTTCAACATAATATGCTCAAGGTTTTGCTTCTCATAGATTTATTCAAGTAGTAAAGGATCGTGTTATTCCATTATTTTCTTTCAGATTATTGATATTGTATTATTTTCTTTTAAGTCCGCCACTGACCCCCACCAACCACATCAACCAGAGATTTTAAACCATCAAAACCTTTATATAACATACTCAACAGCACTCATCCCATAGGCCTTGTTAAATGGAAGTTCCCTTTCAACGACTGCTTCTTTTAGATGATGCCACATATCTAACATCACTTTGTACTGAACCATAGACACAACCATCATGATCACTAGTAAGAGAGCATGTTAAAATAGAGTGGCTAGCAAGAAGGCGGAGAATTCGATCGAGAATTTAAGGGGCTTGTGGTTTGTTTTGAGTAACAAGTTGGGCTGCAATTTATGACGAGGAAAGCTGACCTCCGGGACCAGCTTTGTCTATGATATCAAGCACACCAAGTTCAATTGTTGCTTTTAACACCATAGGCAAGACTGATGCGCTCACTAGTTGGATAGCGTACTGTCCATGAATATGATCGTCCTCTTCATTTGTGGACGTTTTCATCTGGTTTTCCTCGGAGTTCATCTTGTGTTTTTGGTAGTTGAAAACAGAGTTTTAGGGAGGATAATTTAAGATCTTTAATCTCAGCGCAAACAGTACAAGTTAATTATTATAGGTGGACATTTGTTTACAAGTATTATTACACTCATAATCTTTTCTCACAAACTTTTTCTCATAATCTTAATGTTACAGTTTGTCATCGATCGGTTCACAAAATGAGTCTCATTTTCTTATATAAGTCTTATCTGTCCATATACGAATTGTCACATCAAAATTATAAGAAAGTTTACGACAAGATTTTGTACACATATCATTTTCCTTTTATATTCACAACCGTGTGAAGTTTTTTATCATGACTTTTTGTCTTCTTCCCTTTTTGTCCTCAAATTATTAAGAATTTCGATGCATTCTAAGAGCATTTCTAATAATACTCTTTATTTAAAGATCATCTTTTATATAAATAAAAAACATCATTTATATAAATAAAAAGCATCTTTTAATTTATATATATATATATATACATCGAGAGAAGTCTTTGATCATGATTTTTTGTCTTTTTCCCTTTTTCTCCTCAAATTATTAAGAATTTTGATGCATTTTAAGAGCATCTCTATTGGTGCTCTTTATTTAAAGAGTATGTTTTATATAAATAAATAGCATCTTTATTGATTTATATATATAATCTTTAACGATACTCTTTATTTAAAGAGCATATTTTATATAAATAAAAAGCATCTTCATTATTTTTTATGATGCTATTTATTTATATGAAAGATGCTCTTTAAAATAAAGATTACTATTAGAGATGCTCTTTAAAATAAAGAGCACAATTAGAGATGCGTTTATAATGCATCGAAATTCTTAATAATTTGAGGAGAAAAAGGGAAGAAGACAAAAAGTCATGATCAAGGCTTGTAATTTAAATAAAGAGCATCTTTCATATAAATAAAGAGCATCTTCATTTATTTTTAAATATAAAGAACAAAATTTTTATTCAAATCCAATAGACTCTTTAAATTTTAAGAGAAATAATATGTTTTTTCAAAAAAAAAAAACTTAATAGGAGAGATAAATAATAAACAAAATGCATAGAAACTTGTAATTTATTATTTAAAATTAGGATAGAGAGTGAAATTTGACTCTTTAAATATGGAGAGTCAAACTCACTATTTAATTTATATTTAAATAATAAAGAGTCTGTTGAACTCTTGTTTCTATGGATAAACTCTTTATAATAAAGAGTTTGGGTCATATAAAGAGTCATTTGAAGATGTGAACATCTCCAATAGTGTTCTTTATTTTAAAGAGCATATTTTATATAAATAAAGAGCATCTTCATTATTTTTTAAATATAAAGAACAAAATTTTTATTCAAATTCAATACACTTTTGAAATTTAATAAAAATGCTCTTTATTTTCAAGAAAGAGAGTTAATAGAAGAATAAATAAATAAAATATATAAAAACTTATAATTTATAAATTAAAATTATGATAGAAAGTAAAATTTAACTTTTTAGATATGAAATATAAACTCATTTTTTAATATTTAAATAATTAAATTTTTTTTATTTATAGATAAACTCTTTATAATAAATAACATTTTAAAAATAGTCGGACTAAGACATCAGCTTCCTGCCGTGTCCAAGTTTGACATTTCTCTTTTGCTAGGCTGCCGACCTGTTACGCGCTTTGGAGTTTGGCCTTTTCAAAATTTCTATAAAAGACAACACATATCTTAAGACACAGGATAAGTAGTTTTACCTCAATAGTCAATACCATAACTGGTGTTACTAGCACCACATAAAAATAATTCCTGACACTAATTTAAATTAAAATTACATAACATTAAACTTGAGTACAGATGAAATATAATCAATAATTTTAATGGTGATGGAATTATTCTTTCACAACAATCATTAGGTGGTCTAACGATCAATTATGATTCTTAAATGTATTATTCAAGAGATTTTGTATTTGATCCACCTAAGTTACTAATAAAAGTGATCACTGAAAGTATATATCTAACTATCTATTTGGCCTCAATAATTAATTGAGGTGTGAAATTTTCTCTCCACAACTACCTAGTGTATCTGTGGTTAATTAAAAGGATGAAGCAGTAGTAGAGGTTTTGAACATGTCCAAGCAACATTCAGTTTCAAGTCCCCTCTTCCAGAATTTCTCATAGTATTCAGCATATGTAAAGTCTGTATAGGCAGCCGGGTGGTTATGGTCGATTAACTCCTTGGCGGGACCTATTAAAGCATCTGGCGATGGACAATAAAAGGTTGGAATGGATATGCGCTCCTTGTCAGAGTTCACCACAGCTCGATGAAGCACACTCTGGTACCGATCATTGCTGAGTACCTGATACAAATTGACCCACCACGAAATTATTACGATCTTTAAATTCAATATATGCTCCAGGGCGCACATGGACGAGCTAGGTAGAAAATTAATTAACAGAGAATAAATTATACACAAGGAGCACGTTCTTTTATTATATATACAATTAATTTACCTGCATTTGATCACCAATGTTGATAATAAAAGTGTTGGGGATAGGATTGACAGCAACCCATTTGTCATTCCTGAGAACCTGAAGGCCAGGCACATCATCTTGAAGAAGAATAGTGATTAAATTAGGATCAGTATGTCCAGGAAGTCCATAAGTTAGCTCTGGTTGTGGACAGGGGGGATAATAGTTCAAAGCCATGTGTTGGGCATGTTTGCCTAATGATTTGTCTATATAATCTCTTTGAAGGCCTAAACTCTCTGATATGGCCTCAAGTAGTCTCAATACTAGCCCCCTAATACTTGTGCAATACTCGGCCACGTCTTCCCTGTTAACACACAAATTTATTAATGATACATGATTCGCCACTATAAAGTTAAGTGTGTATTTATATATATATGTATGTATACAAGACCTGAAGGATGGAGGATTAGTAGGCCATTCATGGACGTAATTTTCAAGAGGATAACAATGAAGTCTCAAGAAATCTCTCCAGTTGGCCACCTTTTCGGTCTTAACATTGAAACTAGTGGAGAGCCTAGTGGTTTTGGAAGGGTCATCAGAGTAACTCTTCAACCTCTCACTCTCTGGTAATTTGAAAAATCTTCTTGCAATGTTCAACATGATATTGATCATTTCCTCTGAAACTCCATGGTTATTCACCTACAGGGACAGGTGAATGTATAGATTAAGATGTAGTTATAGCAAGTAATAATGAAGTTGAAGATTATTGCAAATAATAAAGTATATAACTGAAAGAAGCAATCGTGTTGGCATGCTAAACCAATCTGTTGGATGATTTCAGAGTGGCGAGGACCGTAAAGACCATCAAGATCGATAAGAGGAATAGAAGAAGCATCTGATACCTCAACTTGCGTGAGATTTGGACGGTCATTGATGGGTCTGATATAGTTAGAGGGAACGTTTTGAACAGTGGATGCAAGGTCGGAGAGTAGGAGCTTGGTGGAAGCGGTAGCTGTAGCCATATGAAATAATATATTATTATGAAATATAAAGGGAAGGAACTGTAAAAGTGATGGATGGTATGGGGTTTGATAGTCTCCTATTTATAGGAAACAATATTGCTAAATGAGAGAGGAGAGAGGATAAGATAAAGGAGGAGTTGCCGACTGAACCGCTGGAAGATATCATATTAATGTCACGAGTGACCGACTGAGCAGTGAGAATTGACAAATTTATTGGGTTGAGTGTGTGCGGTGTGCCACTGCTGCATTTATCAAATTTATAATTTTTTTCTGCGAAACTGTGAATAGACGTAAATGAGTTAAAAATTTGGTGCTTATTTGAAGTGTTCCACAGGGATGGGTAGGGTAAGGTAAGGGTCAAGAGTCAGAAATTAAATAATTGAGAATAAGTATTATAATCGACTGATCGTGTCATCAATACAGCATCTGCAAGTAACGTCAGATCATATTGATCAATCGGCTAAAAAATGGTAATAGTAGGAGGAATGGTAGTTCAAAATGTGTGAAACAGAACGCTTTGTGTTTTGTTTCTGCAAGACTCGGGGCTTGTGCGGTAATATAAATCTAAACTTGGTATGAATCTGTCAGTTCAACCACTCTTGACTCTTCAACAGGCTATTGTATGCGACTCAGCTCATGCAGCTCGTGGTAATTAGTTTAATAAACAAAGGTTGAGGAATCATCCCGCAATATATATATATATATATATAGGTTGAATTTAGCTGTAATAAACTAAAAATGAAAGAGTTGTTAATATAAATACGATACGGACCTTCAGATGAGACACAAAGTAGACCAATGAAATGAATATTACGTATGTAAGATGACATTAGCTGCTACTACGTCATTTATTCGGTGACGATGATGATTTGATTATAATTTATCCAAATTTATAAAATGAATTGCCACTGACGGAAGGCACTGACCTGACCTAACCCCACCTCCTTCGTCACCAGCACCTCATACTTATTTGTGAAATTTTTTTTTATTTTTTATTTTTAAAACAGATTACATATTCTGGCCCCTGGGACGAAATCCGGCACTATCAGTATTCGCTTGGCATCTTTTCGCACTTCTACTGCACATTTTGATGCGCAGCCAAAAATCAGATTTCCCTTTTAAAAAAAGATCAACTTCGATTTAATAACTTAACATGTGTTCTTATAGTGTTAAATGCATGTGAAATTATGGCATAAGTAGCACCCTTCTCATGTGCAAAAATTCAGCCAGATGCTCATCAACAGCACAGATTGTTTACATGATATGGGCAATCTAGAATATCTACTGTAAAATTATGGAATTCAGATACACCGTCCCAATCTTCAGAATCATTCGTTTCAATTTGTGATAGGGTAATTGTGGTCCAGCTGGCACCCAACCACAATTGACAAAGAATAGTGTCTCTGCATGTCGGCACCAGCTTCCAGATGCAGAAGAAATTCAGCATGTTTTTGTAATTTAACTTGTGGGCGCGAAGGCACATCTGCCGACCATGAAATTGATTGTGGAGTATAAATTCTCCACGAAAACCAACTTTTAAAGTTGAGGGTAATGAATTTCGATCACAATATCAGTTGTTGGAAATTATCCCATTACACTAACTAGCAAACCAGATAATTTGGCAATTTGGTGGATTTCCACATGTGTAGAGTGTGGGGTCACAAATTAAACTATTTAGATATCTGTAATCATTTTTTATCTGGAAATAATTAGGTTTGTTACCTACAAAATTACTTATACCCCTTGTTTAACTATAATTTAAATTCTATGTGAAACAGGTCCCAATTTAAGAATTTACCCATACTTGTAAAATTCAAACAGAACAATGCTCTCCAGACTATGATCTATTAGCATAAATAGAGCACGCAGATATCATGGGTCGACCCCATGGTTCAACCCTGACCTCGGCCCTCCTAGATGGGCTTCGTGACCAAAGGTTATAGAAAACAAGAATCTTGGTCCTCCACAAGGCCTTCCAAAGCACTTTAAAACATTTTCCTATGCCTCTCAATCTCAAATGTTCATAACCTATGAACCTCTGACTTTAGATGACCAGTATATGTTTGGAAGTATTATCACCAGAATTTTAGATAGCATACCTCAAGCTACTGATATTTTTCAAGTCAATGACACTGGTTAACTGCAAGACAAGTTAATTACTTTCAGGAATGACTCCTAAATTCAGCATTTAGACTGGCCTTATTCAGCTTAAACAAGGATAACGGGGATGATTTAGAGTTGGAGGGCTATTCAAACATGAGAGAAGGTAAACTGCAAAGTATTGCTGGTAAGAAGCAGCCGGGCCATATACTTTGAGTGCATTGTACAATAAGAGCAAAGCCTGTTGCTACACAAGCTGGCCCATACTAGTAAGATGGAAGCTATTGGAAAAGAGAGGACACCTAAGAAGAACAGATCAGCAAGCATGTTGCGGACATTAGCAGGGCACATATTTGTTCAAAGAAAAGTCTAATTATTCTAAACCAGGTTGTGTAATGCTTACAGACTAAAATCACCTTAACATAGTAGAAGACTATCTGTCAGTTGTACGAAGCAAAGAAAGATTAAGAAAAGGTAATGCAAGGAAACACTGATTGGTTTTGTATATCAATTACCTGAGGTCATTATTGTCTGCGCCACAAAACAATACACATCCAAGTATCAATAATTATAGCATTAACATTTGAAATGCTCAAATGCACAAAGTTTGCATGATTAAAGATCAAGTACATATATAAAGACTGAACGAGAAGAAAATATTAGTCCCCATACTGGATGGAATTTTCAAAAAACAGACAATTTCTACTCTCTAATTTGCAATTTCTCCAAGATTTTTCAATAAACATTCTTCAAGAAAATATTGTTCATCAAAAATACTAGCGTGACGAATTAAGCAGAGCTCTGCCAATGATACCTGTAGCCTCAATGTAGCGATCCACACACCTAGAAACGCAACTACTCTCACTACCACTCATGCTTGATCCTGGTTTAGTGATGCACTTCTCAAAGCACTTGCCTGTTACAGTCTGTGTAATACATGAAATGCCATCAATAACTAAGCAAAGGGAGATAAATATGCATTTGTTCCAAACAAGAGATGAATGGGTAACAGATAAAGTTTCTTCTTATATTTGGGCTTAGTTTGCAGTGCCTTCCCCATAACCGTAACCTAATCATTAGCATTATGATTAAATAAAAAATAGGCCGTAAATAGGATTGCTTTACTACATTAATAAGGTTAAAACCACAACTCTAAAATAACAGATCGATAAATTTCTATGAAAACAGATTGGCGCCATAGCAAAATCTCAAAATGAATTAAGAGAGAGAATGAAAACCTCAAGGAACTCTTGGGCGTAAGCCTGAGCAAGCTGAGTTTTGAACTTGTCCATGAAATCGTCGGTGGAGAACGGAGACGACGATCCAGTCGGTGATGAAAACGAATCCATTCTCTTGCGCGTCCTTGAAAACCCCTAGAGAAGAAAAGAGAACAGTGTAGCACTTGTAAACCCTAAATTAAACTACTCCGTCTCTCGCAAGGGATTGGGTTTGGTCCAACATATGGGCTGCAAATTTGAGTAAGGCCGGCCCAACTTATATTGTTTGAATCAATCGAGAGGACAAAATTATTTTTTTATCTAATGTTGGGCGCACTGCCCTAGCTTGTGGGCAACGTTAAGCCCAGTAAGCCAATAAGAGCCATGGAAGATGGTGACACCGTGACAGACAGTGGAGAGGAGATAGAAATAAAAGAAGATAAGCCGCCAACAGCCAACTGGAGGGTAAAGTAAATGGTCCAGTTTTATGATGAGTTTAATTTGGAAGCTGAATCTGAACCAGTGTGGTCCTCCTCCTCTCTTCTAGTACCAGCTTTACCTCTACTTGTCTAATTTAAACGACCGACCTATATATTAACTATTAATTAAAATTGTTATTGCGATAAGTTAAATAAATTACTTAGGGAAAAAGGGGACCATCAATAACTCCAATGGGTGAGACATCACAGTGATATATTTTGATAATTAATTTTGTAGGATTTTGAGTGGCTGCCGGTAGTTGCCATAATCTTATTTGCTACTTCATAAAAAAAAAAAAAAAAAAGCTGCCATCCGTTTTACCTTTTCTCGGCCTTTAAATTTGATCGACCCACTCCTCCACTTCATCTAACAAGTTGTAAGAGAAAGAGAGAGNTTAACTATTAATTAAAATTGTTATTGCGATAAGTTAAATAAATTACTTAGGGAAAAAGGGGACCATCAATAACTCCAATGGGTGAGACATCACAGTGATGTATTTTGATAATTAATTTTGTAGGATTTTGAGTGGCTGCCGGTAGTTGCCATAATCTTATTTGCTACTTCATAAAAAAAAAAAAAAAAAAGCTGCCATCCGTTTTACCTTTTCTCGGCCTTTAAATTTGATCGACCCACTCCTCCACTTCATCTAACAAGTTGTAAGAGAAAGAGAAGGCCAGGCACCGCCCACCCAGGGCTTTGAAAAATTATTTTATAATACATTACTAACATAGTATTACAAGTAACATCCATCATATCCACCAGATACACCACGTGAAAAATATAATTAAACAAAATATTGCTGACTATATTACATATTCTATCATGAAGTTTTGATTGCAACTTGATATAACACATTAATTAATTAATAATCTTAATTAATAAAATGCAACATGAACATTAATTAATTAATTAAATTAATTAAACATATAGAAGACTTTATAGGCAGCTAGATAAGATCCAAAGATGGGCAATTTGCACAAGGAGTAGCCACCAAATTTGACTTGGAGAATCACTTTTAAAACAAAGGTAAGAGGTTTATTTAACTCATAATCTTGTATATACCAATAATTAAATTAAAACAAATGGGATATGATAATATCGCGTCTTTGGGACGCTGGTTCAGTTCCAACTTGCAATTCTTGGATTAGAAATAAGGATGAGTACTGAAGACCCCTCCCTCCCGTTTATGGGAAGTCAAAAGAATCATACTTATACAAAATTAATAATTAGTTAATCATATTAAGTGAGTGTTGATTAGTTCTATGCGTTCTAACGTCACTCTAATCACAGCAGGTGACGGAAGCTGCCTTTCGGATTAATTTAAGGAGAACAGGTTTCGCACGAGACAGACAAGCTAGCATTACTAGATTCAAATTCAAATTTATTTTTATTTTTTAATTAAACTCTGTTTGTCTCTATGTATTTTATTATAATGAAATCTGTGCCACATTACTATTAAAAAAATCTATACACTTTCGTAGCTGATAATGGTTTCAGGGTAGATTCATACTGACACTTAATTAATTATTAACGTATTAATTAAAATTTGAAATGTGATTAGAAGAGTTAATTAATATTGGAAGTCATGCATATAGATATAGGAATAGGAGAAGAAGCAAAGGTGGAGGATGGTGATGGGATGGGATCAAAGTGTCACATGCAGTCAAGAAGACATCACAAATATATTCATAATTTAATTATTGACTGATTTTATGTTTAATTAGAATTGAGATGAGAAGACCCGTGTGGAAACAGTGATAGATGTCCGTACTACCAAATGAATGAAATGAAACCCTAATTACTCCAGTTAGATTCCAAAGTATATTTCTCAACATTAAATTATAAATAGAAAACAGCTGTGTTATCACAGAAATAATAATATATATGTTGTGACTTGTGAGTGTATAACACCAGATAGGGTGATGATAATGACAAGCTCAATCACATGAACCCAACCAGATAAATACATGGGGTCCCTACGTACAATCCCTCTTAATTATTTTTCAAATTAAAAAAAAAAAAAAAAAACGAAAATCAAACTTATTCAGCCTAACTACAGAACCTTCCAGGGAGGCACCCTGTAAGAATATCACACCCTATATAATTTCCCCACTTTTATTATTATTGATTTTTCAAGGTCAACAAGAAGAGGAACTGCCTTGCTTGCAATTCTTCTCTCTCCCTCTCTCTTGTCTTGAGCTGAAACGTCCATGGGGGGCATCTTCTTTTCTTAGTCTTAGTTTCGTGTTTGAGACTGAAGACAGTCAGATTAGAAAAACTTCCACAACCCTCATTTTCCTCTGACCTTCCTTTTCTTATTCTCCAATTTCTTCAACCCTAGCTTTACTAAGAAACAAACAACTTCTGAGTAGTGGTTACTTATTCTTGTTTGTTTGTTTTCATTTTCTTCATCTACGCACACCATTATTATTCCCTTTGATTTTTCCCTTTCCTTATCTTTATATCCTCTTGGACTCGACTCATTCTAGATCCATTCACCTGCAGACGCTATAACTATATTTCTCCCAATTAAATCATGGATTTTGGGTCAAACAAAGAAGGTTTTGTTGAAGAAGATCAGATTCAGATGGTTAAAGCTGCTAAACTTCATTCCTCATACTCTTCTTCTTCCTCTCCATCATCTTCATCTTCTCACCATCACTACAAGACCCAGCTGCTTCCTCTTAGCAACAACAACAGCAGATGGGAACCTCACCACCAAATGGGTCCTTGGTTGGGCCCATCTGATCAAGAAGATCATAACAACTCAAGGTCTACTGAAGAAGCTGTATCTACAAAGCTTGATCTCATGGAAACATCCCAAACAAACGTGGATGAAGACGTCAGAAATAGTGCAAGTGTTAGCATCGAGAAGGAACACATGTTCGATAAAGTTGTCACTCCAAGTGATGTGGGTAAGCTAAATCGTTTAGTCATCCCAAAACAACACGCCGAAAAGTATTTCCCCTTAGATTCTTCCACAAATGAAAAGGGTCTACTCTTGAATTTCGAGGATCGAAATGGAAAACCATGGAGATTTCGCTACTCTTACTGGAACAGCAGCCAAAGCTACGTCATGACAAAAGGTTGGAGCCGTTTTGTCAAGGATAAAAAACTAGATGCAGGAGATATAGTGTCGTTTCAACGCGGGGTTGGTGAGTTGGGTAAAGACCATCTTTATATCGACTGGAGGCGAAGACCAGATGCAGCTAATCCACCGCCTACGTTTCCTCTTCAAAACCACCATCACTTGTCATTCCACCGCTCCATTCCTTGGAGTCCTTTACTAATGAGACCTCCAATCCCGGGAATGCCCAGGGACCACTCGCACTTGTCACAAATCAATAATTACTACAATCGGAATTCCTACTATAATGGTGGTTATGGTAGTGGTACTGTTGCAAACCCTTCTTCAATGGGGTCAATTCTCTACTTGAGACCACAACCAGCTCATATAAACCCACAAGTCCAAATGGGAATGGTGGAGTGGCAACAACAACAACAGCTGCAACAGCTGCAACAACTACATCAACATCAACAACAGCATCCAATGGTGTTTGATTCGGTGCCGGTGGTCCAAGGGAAGGCGGCAGCCAAGAGGTTGAGACTGTTCGGCGTAAACATGGAGTGTCCCTTGACGGAGTCAGATGAGTGTGACATATTGTCTTCAACAACAATGACAATTCAGCAGCCTTCCCAGATTTCTTCATCATCACAATCTCCTCTCCAATTAAGGCTTTACAATGGCACCCCAATTCAAACAGCACCTAGCTTGCCAGCAGCTCCCGTCGACTTTCTCAACAAAGGGAAGGCTTCCATGTCTTTTGATTCAACATCATCAATCTAACACAGTATCTCTCGAAGATGAAGAAAAAGGGAATGGCTAAGACACGTAATAGCTTTCTTTTCATACTGTTCAGTTTATATTTGATGAAATCTCTTCATGCTCACCAAACACCCAGCAGACGATGGTGGTGTATCAATATCTATCTATACTTAACAATTTAATAACGAGAATGATCAAGGGTGGTGGAACAAGCTGATGATTTGGGCTTCGCCAAGAAACTGGATAGAGATGAAAGAAGTACCGTCTTCGTCGATTAACTCGTGTAAATTTAGATAATACATGATTAATATTATATATTTATATATTATATATAAATAGATGGATAGATAGAAATGAATAGGGATGAGATATAGATTTGATTTGATTTTTTATCAAGGGCGAGAGAGAGATGAGATGTGATGTGATGTTTACCTTTTCTAGGCCTGGTTTCAGCAATGTGTATCCATCCGACTGAATTAGTTTCATTGGAAGATCTTTTATTCTCTTTGGCTCACAATTACTAACTCTAGACGCTGTTATCCTGTAATAACATTAACAAACTTTCCTGGCTCAGTAACTGCGCACACCGCTAGCTACCTGATGTTATTAAAGTTTTTAGCTCTCTTTTGTCTTTACCTTGCTAGGTTGTTGTTCTTGTCGCTGATTCGTTGGGCACACCTCAGGTTTTGCAGACAATTTGCCAGAGCTTTAAAAGGTAGAATTAACTAAATTTTGTTCAACTCTTTTTGTTTAACTTTGATTCTTGCTCCCCTTCTTCAACTCCATAAATACCTTTATTTAATATATATATATATATCTTCTCCTTTGTTTCTTTATATGTTGCCTTCATGCATTCTCTACAATAATCAACCTGTTCTTGATCATCTGTATTCACTGCACACATAATATCATGAAGTGCTGTTTCGCTGGAATCATATATGGTTGTGTTTCTCCTTTCTCAGTGCTAGCTAGTCAGTAGATTTCTATAATCATGTAAAAGAGTAAATGTAATGCTACTGCTATTTAGCTGGAATTGCTAATCACTTTCTAAACAAATCACCACTTTAAACTGTTGGCTTTCCTTAAGGATCAATTTTTTGCATTCCCTACATCCTTGCAAAGAGTACAAATCATCCAAAATTTTCAAGTTTCGTACCAGTGTGACAATAACTGTGTCCTGTAGAAGTTTGTCATTTTCTATTGTTGATCATCATACCAATTCCTACACTATTTCAGTATCTTGTTTTTTTATACAATGCACCGATTTTCTTACACATAGCCATAATGTTTAGGCAACAGCAAGATTTTATTATATGTTTGTTCTTTGATTACGTCATGCATTTTTTAGGGATAATTGTTCAATTATAACATAAACAGATCGGGAATGCATCTGTATGTATATTCTATATACTAATAATAGAATATATAATTTAAAATTAAAAATTTAAATTTAATATATAATATATATCTCAAAATAAATGATCCCTATAGACTTAGCCAGTTTCGTTCGTGTACATATATCTGCTTAAATCTCTACTTCTTTCCGGTAATGTGAATTAGGGTATCTTGGATATTAAAAATTCTCTTTAGCGGTAAATATTCTATATATATGTATGTGATCATACCTTTGCTTCCTTGAATATACGTATTGTACTGCCTTCCCATTTTTCAAATGGAAGTTACTAGTTCAGCTATTTTTTATATCCCATATATATATGTATGTATAAATCCTCCTACTGTGTTAAGGTGATATCAATGACTGCAAAAGAATTGGAATAGGAAAGTTAATTTCCATTAACCAATAATTAGTAGAACTTAATTTCTTCTTCTTTTTTCCTTTCCTTTCCTTTCCTTAATTTTTTTTTTTTTCTTTTATCGAATTATATTAGGTTTCTTGTGACGTATACACTGGTTATTGGTGTTTTGGAGTTATAATCATCATGCAATAGCACAATTAGTCAATTAGATGCAATTTTTAAAAGCATCAGACAGTGTCAAATGACAGAAGCTTTAGAGAAGTTAAAAAGAGAAAGAAAGCAGTATTTTCATGTTGTGACCATTGGATTGTTCTAGTGCATTAGAATTATGTTTTGTTTGATATTATTATACAGGATATTTTTATATGCTAATTAGCTTGTCTGCATAGCATAGTGGTGCATTAATGATCAAAATCACTTGATCATCTAACGTTTACATAATGTAGTACTAATCTCTCTTTATTAGAAAACTAAAATGCTGTATAGATATAGTCCTGGGGTGTACATAATCAAATATTATGTTGGTTATGTGTTGTAATGTGATCAGCTTATTTCCATACAGTAGCTTTTGCATATCTCCATTTCTCTCTAATAATAATTGAATCTGTTGAGAGTTGTGGATCTTTAGAAATTAGTTATATTAATTGGTTTCCACTGTCCAATTCCAGTACAAGAATGTACTTACTGCAGAGTTATTGCTGAAACTTTAAATACACATTTATATTTATGTAAAATACTGTCATTATACGCAGTCTGGCTGCAACCTATGGGTAGACATGTACGGTTTCTGCTCTTATATATATGAACTCCACATGAGTTTTCAGATTATTGGAATGGTATGTCTTGTTTGATTTAAAGCAAGAAGGGCCCTAATTACAGGGCTTGTTAGCAATATAGGTTGCGATTACCGAAACCTTTTCATTGATGGAGCAGCAGCAGCAGCAGAATTAGTTGAGCGTGGGTGACTACTAACATTTTTTTGTCGTTCCAATATGTGATGTTATGGGTTTATAAACTAAATTGCTTCTTCCCTTCTGTGGATGTGATTCATGATCTTGTGTTGGAAAAGGTGTCCAATCAGAGTTTGTGTTTAATGGGCAGATTTAACCGGGTTTGACCAACGATATTAATTAAGTAAATCAAGCTCTTTCAATGCTAATCCTCATGGGATGCATGTAGCTACGAGAGGAGATCTTCTATATATATACATATGTCAAGCTCGATTTTTAGCGGCGTTGTATTCTTTTCAGATCAAGCTGTGGATGGGGTGGATCAAATGATTGATAATATTATTCATATATACTTAAAAAAAATCACCATAATGGCATAAATACCAAGTCATTGTATATGAGTAATTAATGCAGCGATCAACTTAATTACATACTAATTATGCATGTGGAGGAGTTGGGCAAAAAACACGATCTCAAATTATATAGAAAATGGAAGAAGAAGACATATAAAAAGGGCGGTAATAGTAATGTATACAGTAGGGATATTTTCATCTGAGTTGAACAGAATAGAAATGCATGGAATAGCAAAAGAAAAGTATAGCTTGGGCCCCGCCACGTCGTTTTGTAATTGTGAGGCTATGAGCATCTAGACTAGTGTGATACGTAATGTTAAAAAATAAAGGCAGAAAGACACATCGCTTTCAGCGTTGTTTATGAGCGTAATTAGTATTCGGGAAACAGCCCAGACAGCCTTAACGATATCTACTTTCTCACTTTATATATATATATTGATATTATTTTCACATGCCCAGTACTTCTTTACTTGCTTTTAATAATCCTACCATGTGAAGTCTGCTATTACAAAACCAGAATATTTGATAAGGACCTCCTACAAAACCAAACCCTAATCAACACCACATTTGCATAACCAACTACAACTAGAATTAGAACTAGATAGTTAGAATGGAATGGAATGGAGATTGAGATTGAGAATGAGAATGAGAATGAGAATGTGCAGTGGCAGTGGCAGTGGCAGTGGAGTCCCCACTCTAGAAAGAGAAAGTGTATTTAAATGTAATATAGGGTTAACATATAGAGAAGGGAAGGGAATAGGGTGTGTATAATGAATGTGGACAATCAATAAAAGAGAGAAGTAGTAAAGTTATTGTTTTAATTGAAGAGGACAGTGGCGTGCATTTTAATCCCCCAATTCTTTTCTTTCTTTCTTTCCTATGGACCACGACACCTACGTTTATATATATATATATTCATTTTATTTCGCTTTTAATGCATCACATTCCCGTGAATGTCATGGAGGATTGCTTTTGGTCTTTCTATGTATTCAGTATTTGTGGTATTAGAGGCAGACTCTATAGGCTTTTTCACGCTCAAAACTAAAGAGACCTGTCACTCTCAGAGTCTCTGTCTTCATTTCCATATTCAACCACTCAACATTCCTTGTTTCTAAAAGTTAATATGGACAACTGATACACATTGCATATACCCTTCTCGATCTTCTCTTTTTTTATAATTTTATAATGCTGCTGTGTCATGTCATGATGCAGCAAAAATGAAGAAGAAGGAGAAGAAGAAGAAGAAGAAGAAGAAAATAAATAAGGCTGACACACCCATTTGATAATATTGTTATTATTGACGCAACAGAGGATTAACAATGACAGTGCTAAGAGTGGGACGGCAGTCGATCCCAAAAAACAACGGCAATTATAGTGAAATATTGATAGTTACAACTCATGCTTATAGTCATTGGATGGGATGGGATAAGATCCATCTACATCCTCTTTAACTTAACAGCCGTAATCTTATAAAAGATACTTCTTCCTTTTTTAATTTCTTCAATTTTTAAATCTACATATTTCATCTGCAAACAGCAAACCAAGAGACAAAACTAAGTGGGGCTGCCTGCAAAAAATTTCTGACGACCCACCTGGAAATTTGCTGATGGGATGAGGACGGGATGGGGCTCATTTACATGATATATACATATTTGTCGTATTATTAGATGTTATGTTTTTTGTAACCCTAAGCTGGCTCTCCCTCATTCAATGCCGGATACCCAGATTGTCGCTAAACCTTACCCTGTACTCCAATCAATGCCCAATACCAATCTTTCCTCTTTCAGTTCATCTTCCCTTTTGTTTTGTCTTCATTCTATTTCTTTTCTGCTATCTATTATATTAACTCATGCATGTGATCTTGGAATGGGACCATAGCACCACGCTTAGAAATTGATTACTCCTAAACTAAGATTTAATTGTAAGTTTGGCACCTTCTCTAAATGACAAAACATGTTCCTGCTTTAATTTACAATTAACTTACTTTATAATAATATTTAATGTACAGGAGTAGATGCCAAATTTGCAACAACTTAAAGGTCCCCACTTGTTATGAATGGTCACTTCTTTTTTTTTTTAAATAATTTTTTGGGATGAACAGTTACATGGGTTGTCCTTGTACTTCCAACTAGCTATTCATAACCTAAGTATGTAATGTTTCATACAGTACCATCCATAGTTAATGAGATATTAATGAGCTTGTTTTGTCTTTCTGTTGTCTCTCTCTCTCTCTTATCATTCAATTTCTTTCTTTTTAAAACTACATTATTCAATTACCCTCCACTTCCCTAACCCCTATTCATTACCATTTCCAATTTATAGATTCGTATATAGCTTCTCAGAAGTGCTATTGCAACTTCAATCTATGTTCACAAGGAGATAAACACAAAGAGAAGAGAAAAAGAGACAATTAAACAAAGATTTTAGAGACCGAGAGATCCATCCTAGAAGCAACAAGAAAGTAATATATTGGTGAGGAAAGTGAAATTCATAGACACTGATAGTTTTGTTTTGTAGTGTTTAAGAAGATTTGTATTTCTCTCCTATTTGACAATCTGGTTTTTGTCTCAATTTATGTTAAAAAAACTCAGGTTATAGCCCAGCCTTCTGGGGGTGAAGTTTTTTAGAGTCATGATCTCTGGGCCAACATAAGCCCCAGTCTATTCTATTCTTATGACCCAGTTGTTAACTGAACCTGAAAACGATTTAAGGAGCCCACATCAGACTATAATTAGCTCTAGCCCTGACCCAAACTTCCCATAATTGAGTTGTTGTCCCTAGCTAACCTGTGGTGATATTTATTTCAAGAGTAATTCTACACTTTCAAAGTGAAATCTCTTATGTGCATAAGATGAAATTTAGAGATTTCACTTAGCAAGTGTAATATTACTCTTATTTCAATGTTACACACCCTTGTAGCAGCTTAAAAGATATCTCATATCCATTGCCATTGGATCATGATTCACTTTCATACCTCCCTCAATAATGTTAGATCTAACAAAGTACAAAGTTGTCTTGATGACAAGAGAGGCGAGAGATAATTTTTAAACATAATTGTTACAAGTTTTAATAACTTGATATAATGTTTAAGTACATATTGTGAAGATGCTTTACCAACAAATGATGTTTCTCTTACTTACAATGACCTATACATTCTCCGGTGCTACAATGTTTTCTTCACGTTTATGCAACTTCAGTCTCCGAATCTTAATCAGCTGGTTGGGGATTGAAGGATAGGAACCTTTCAGCTTATGGCTTCCCCCATATCTTGTATCTACCGTCCACCGAGAAATTGTTTCCTTAATAACACGGATCAAACCCTTAATAAGAGCCTCAAAAAACTTTTGCCGAACCAGTAAAAACTAGTAATGAGTAGCCTTAAGTTTACAACTATACATGCTACTTGCACAGCAGCCTTCGCTTCCAAACATTAACCATTCTATGCTCATGATAAAAAAAAAAAAAAAACCCAAAAAACAAAAATTACTGTATAACCAACAGACCAGAGTATTAAGTTGGTCCAAAAAGATTGGAATAAGATATGAAATTAATCTTACCTTCTGACTGATTTGCGTCATTCCAGCTCAGTTTGCAAGATCTAAAAAACATTTCATATACGTAATGCAGCTTCAGATTCAACCTGTGAATTTCCATGCAACAAAGGTTGAGAGCACATTCCTTCTATAATCTGATGATTTTGTTTCCTGATTATCTGCATCTTGCATCCTGATTGTTAAAACTGGTTATCTTTTTTAGCTAATAATATCAAATTAGAAGATAATATGATCATCAAAAGGCAGCCGAAAGTACCTCAGTGTATGCATCACCATTCTTAATGCCTTCACCATTTATTGGATAAGAAGAAGGACCGGCAACTTTCTTGTCAAATCTAGTGGACCAACTTTTTTGCCTTTCCCAATCATGTGGAACAGTCATAGTCTTCAACCTTGTTAACTTGAATTCCTAGTTCGAATGACAGCACGGACATTATTCAATTGGAACATAAAGGCAATAATTCAATTCAAACATTTCACCATTGATATCATAACACAGTGGTTAAGACATGAATGGACTTGGTAGGGGACTTCGTTCACTAGTCGCTAATAGCCATAAACAATTTCACTTAACACAATGCTGATAAAAAATCAGCACAGGCTTTGGACAGCAAATGAAGGCATATAAACCAAGATTATTTGCTTTTAGAGAAAAAAAAAAAAAAAAAGGATAATACCTCAAAAAATTAATAAATAACCAATTCAAAACATGACAATACAATTGTAAATTAGAGGATGCAATTTCCATAACTTCAATGTTGCACTCCCATTAATTGGCAAAAATCATTTACCATTCCAAAGATTTTAAATGAATAGTTACCGTTACTTATTGCAAATCAGATCAACAGCAGTCAAAATTCATACAATGCCATACCTTGTTGCAATCAGATAACTTCATAGGACTGTGTAAAGTGCAGTGATGACCTGATTCAGGTATTGAAATCCTTTGTCCAACCTTGTTTGTCATACAGATATTAAGATTATTGATTATCTGCTGGATCATATCATGCTCATGCTCATTTATTGAATCTAAATCATTTGAATAATTCCACAAAAGCAACTTTGATAGATCATGCATTGTACTAATCACTGATTGAACATCTAATTTTGGAGATGTAGACTTTGATGCACCTTGAAGTTTCCCATCAACAACTGAGGGAACACCATCTCTAGAACAAGATAAAATCCGGAAATTCCCTGTCACAGCGGAAGTCACACAAGATGAACCATTACACACAGTGTCTTTGATATTTTTCATAGGACCAGTAACATCTGCCCCTATCACGCCCTGACCACTGGAAGTAAGGTAATCTTCCAAGAGAAATGGTTGATCACCAAGTAAAGAATTGGGCACAGAAAGATTATTTGACTTTTTGGGTAGGGAATATATCTTTCCTCCATCATGAATGTTATTAGAACATTGAGTTCCTATAACATTGCTCATTTCTGAAGAATAAGCTCCTGCTTTCACAGAATCAATAAATCTTTGTTCTTTGGTTGAGAAAGAAAAACCCGCACATAGATCCATCATGAAAGACAAGTGGTCATTTCCATTAGAATCACTCTCATGGAAATTTGCAAGTTGTTTAGCACTTTCAGGAAAAAAATGAGGTGCCAGAGGATTCAAGGTTTTACGTGCTTCTATTTCAATTCTAGGAAGTTGTGAACCCACAGGCTTAGTAACTTCAAAAGGAGATTGATAAGCACCGGTTCCTATCCAACAAGGTGAATCCACATCAGAGTCAGAGTCATTCTGGTCTAACACTACAGAAGAATTTTGGACAGGGACACCCGATTTAGTACCATCAGTTTCCAAGGAAAAAACATCAGGACAGTCAAGAGAAGTGATTGACAACTTTCTTGTTGCCATGACCAAGGAATCTATAGCTTCATTATTGGCATGTTCACCATTCTTTTTTTCCTTCCCTTTACCTATGGGAACATTTTCATGGCAAACAATCTTATCATTGGCATTCAGAAGAATGTGTGGCTCGATCATGACAGCAGCATCACCACAAGAATCCACAGTTCCTGAAAATCCACAAGAATAAATCTCATTGCTGATGACAGCATCATGACAACAAGAATCCACAATTCCTGACAAAACAGGTTTAAGGAAAAAATTATTGGCACCTGATGGTCTCATAACTCGAGCTTGAGGAGACTTATATTCTGATGGCTGAGGATGTGTGCATTCATCTGCATAAGGATACAGAACTGGTAAGTTTCCCTTTTAGAGCAATATTTGAATTACATTGCCTCCAAGCCATCTATGTTGTAGCTAGGCATGATAGCAGACTTGAGGAACAAAAAACTTACATAAACATCCAAAATTAATTGCATACTCCATCAATTATCAGTACAACAAGAAGACATAAAGTGACAAAGTTAACAAAATCTACAAGCTATTCATAAGCAGATACAAACTAGAATAAAACCGTAGAGAAAAGTGCGATTTCATTTATAAATTCATCAGCAGACTTGACTGAAGTAATATGGTGAGCCAAAAAGAAAAATTGATACCATACCGTAAAAAAGAACTGAAACTAGCCTAGCAAGAAGCAAGAAACTAAATACAACTTGGTAAAGTATCCATGACAAAGATGTATACACTATAGCAGGTTAGAAATTGGGGGAAAGGAACGGATATGAATATCAAATATATGACCTCCAACGCTTTACCTGGAATTAGAGCTCAAAATTTATACATGGTAGTCATGCATAAATTTGTGAAGCAGCATTTTAAAATTACCCATTTTCACATTCATTACAGAATTAACAAACAGTCTGGAGAATTAAACAACTCTTTTACAGGGGAGAGCAAAAATGTTATTGAATTTTAATAACAACAGATTAACCCTGTCGAGTCCTCAAAATTTAAGGGAAAATTTACCATCTGGAGTGGGGTCATTGCTGAAAAGGCTGATGACAAAAACTTTGGTTTCAGTAGTTGAACCTATAAATCTCAAAATTCATAATAACTCTAAACAGCAACAAATTTGGCGATGGCTCCACTCCTTCCATTCATAATTACATATGTTAGGAATATGATATTTGAAAAAAAATCCCATAAATGTCATATTTGTTTATAACAACATAAGTTGAGTTTTGAGCAGGATATAAAACAAAGATGAATAACATTCAAATTAAAAAAATTATAGTTGTAAAGAAAAGAGGTATAGGATACCTTGTTTGGGAAAGCTATTGGAAGACAACGAAGAGGTATGGTCCCCAATAACAGTTTGATGGGCAGCCTTAGCGAAAGACGAAGACATAGCATCAGAATCGGAATGAATTAGAAAAGGGTCCGATTGATCATAGCACCCACCATAATCATAAAGTTGTTTCAAATTGCAGAGGTCAAGTGAAAATGAGTTAAAGGATTGTTGACCATCATATTCATGGGCCTGGTTATTGAAGTTGAAGGGCTTAGCCAAAGGTGACAAACGGGACGATGATTCTGTCTGTCTAATGCTCTTGTTAATTTTACCGTTAGTATCACTCATTATTCTCCAACTGCAAAACCCAAACTCAACTCAAGCCTTGGAATTTAAACAGTTTGAGATTGAGGAAGAGACCTGACCTGACATGAATAACCCAGATTACTTTGAGGGACGACTTTAGTGTTTGATTGTACTGTTGGGCTTTGTATTTATTTTCTAATTTTTTTGATCTTCCAATTTTCATCAAAATTATCAGTAATTCGTTTATCATTTAGAGACAAGTAGAAGGTATGTGGAAATGCTATAGCAGTTGCCAAGAAAATGTAGGGTTTTTTCTTGGACGTTAAGAAAAAAATAGAAAAAGTATAGGAGTTCATTCATTGGTTGTTTTTTTATTAGATTAAGTAGAATCTATATATATATATATATATATATGATGTGAACAAGAATAGTGGAAATCGATATGCGTTGGAAGGGGTGATGGTGGGGGCGGAGAGGGTGAGAAAGTAAACAAGGGAATCCTTGTGGAATAAGACAGTGGATATATATATATATATATAAAACAGAGAATGAGAACAATTTTAATTAATTTCTGTAATGTATTCCTTTCATAAACTGCGTGATTCCACAAGACCCATTTCCAAAGCTAATTAATTTTGTTTTACTTATATTAACGGGTTAATTCAACCCAAAGAAGAATTTCTTCATTACAGAATTAGGAAGTGAATATGTGCTCCATTCCCAGAATAATAATAATAATAATAATAGCTTTTCATCTTAATTTACTGCTGCATGCTTTTGTGTCCAATATCAATTATCAATCAAACCAACCAATTACAAAATGTAAAATTTAGGATGTTGGAGAATGATTAAGTACTGTTTATTAGATAATTACATACATATATATATAAGTATAATTTAATACAGTAGATATTATGTTACAAGTACAACAGTAGTTGACATAGAAGTAGTAGATGTGTAATTGAAGAAGAGTTATTACATGAGACAACAAGCATTAACATTATCATCGTTGAACATGTTGCTGACCTTGTCGTCTCCCCGATGGGTGGCTGGAAGTGTCCCATGTCTGTCACCAACGTTGTAACCATGTCTATAGTAATTGTAACTCTCCTTAAATTCATGAGTTGTGTCTTTCCAGTAATTATTAGAAGAAGTGAAATACAAAGGTACATCTGGATATGGCCAAAACTCAGCCCTTTTTCCAGCCCTCCTTACAGCCTTCAACACCTTGTTCCGGTCAACGTATCCCACCACCGTCACCTTTTCTAACTCTAGGTCCACCTCAACAGAATCAACCCCTGTAATAATATATTGTTAATTAATTTCAATTAATATTGATTTTCATGCGCAATTAAATTAAACAAATATAATTAATTACCTTTAAGCTTGTAAACGGCGTTTTTGACAACTCTCTCGCATCCGGTGCAGCACATCCTAACTTTGAGCTCCACAGTCTGTGAAGCATATATTATGCAACACGTGGCTATAATATTAAAATATAAATATATCGATGGCATGTACGCAGTTTAATCTTATTCCTTTGTTCCCTTCTCTTAGTCAAAAAGTAACTTTATGCTTTAGGCCATGCGTTTATAGGAAACTAAAGGGATTAAGAAAAGCCATGTTATTAGTTATGGATTCTCTAAGGCCAGGAACCTTCACTTTTATATGTATGCATTGATCCTTCCATTAAATAAAACATGATAAAAGTTTTGATTAATTAAGATACCTAAATAATGGAAGTTCATTAATTTTGGTTGAAATATACATGGTAGAGTAGCCTTAGGTTTATAACAGAGAATAGCTTTTGAACATATATATATATATATAGATATATGATATATAGACTATATAAACCTGGTGTACAAGTGAAAAACATGCATGATATATATGAAATATCCTGTTCTTTAGTTCTTCTCTCTGTATATATATATATATATATATAGAGAGAGAGAGAGAGAGAGAGAGCCATGGATGTGGCTACTAAAATATATACGTATTACACATGCAGATGCTTCAATTAACAGAAGAAACCGATGAAACGAAATAAAACATGAGTGACGCCATAGCTAGCTACGTGAAAATTAATAAGAGGGTGTTGATAAGAAAGAAGTAACTATTGCGTGCTCCTTGGTGATGTTTTAATTTGGTGTTATGCATGCTTCTCTTTATGTGGAAATCAATAAGTTGAAGAGAGATTTAGAGGAGGAGCGAGTCTCTTATCATAAGTTTGGTTTGTTAATTAATTTGAAAAATGAAAAACAAAAGGATCAAGGGAGCGAATTGAACCTGCAAAGAAAGTGGTCGACCCTTAGTCATGTTGACGCTTTTGATGTTGTCTTGATAGCCAAAGAAACAGTAAGCGATTGAAGATATGACAGAACGGAATGCGGTTGATAGTAAGGTAGCCATAGGGAGTTGAATATGTATTTATATATATAGATAAGTAAGAAGATAAAACTGGAAACAAAGGAACTCCAGCCCTTAGAAGATATTCCTCTCGATCAATCTACCTCTTTTTGTGTTTGGATTTGGCATCGCTTCCCTTCAGCTGTAATCTCTTGGGTAATATATTCCAAAGCAGCATGTCTCTCTAATTATATATACTATTCCTTCCTATGCCTGCCGGTTGTGCTACTTAAATTAAAGAAAAATATATTAAACATAAACCCTTTAAACAAGGGAAGGGAATGGTATCTCTAAAAATGGATGACACTGATGCTTCATACGTAGGTTAGGATAGCATGAGCATATGGGAATATCAGGTTTTCCTTCTGGGATGGGCTTAATTAACCAAAAGGCGAACATTATGAACATAATACATATATTCTATGAAATCTTCTTTTCAAAGTATTCGTATCACTACTCACTCAACATCCACTATTTCTATCTACACACCCTTCCATTTTAAAGTTTTTATTCCAACACATTGCTATTAGTCAGGACTTGGTTTTTTCAACAACCCTTCATCTCAAAACAGAACCTTTGCCTTGTTGTACACTGCTTTATTACCATTTATTTTTATTAAAAAAATATCAGTGTTTCATTACTTAAGCTGTAAGAATAAGTGTACTGTTATTGATTATCCAACCATTCAATATATTATCAGCACCATATTGGTATTATTATTCCACCACTCTTGTCTCTTTACACGATGCACATCATGTTGGTTTTATATATTTATGTACATATATTGGTCTGAAAAGGGGGCTAGCAAAGAAATTATTCAAGTATATATACTACCATAAGATGCTAATTAACTGGTAAGTTATTCTAATAAGACCCACCATATTCCATGTTGTCCATGTCAACGTCAAAAAGGCTATTGGAATGCAATTAAATTTGCTTAAGGAATTTTGGCTAACCCTTTTTGATACTCTCTTTGGTTTCAGTGGTTAGGGTTAGGGTTTGATTTATCGAAAGAGCGATGGAGAAGAAGAAGAAGAAATAGAAAATTGAAAAATGGAGAAGAGGAAGAAGAAGAAGAGGAAATAGAAAAATGAAAAGTGGAGAAGAAGAACAAAAAATTGAAAAATGGCGAAGAAGAAATAGAAAATCAGATTTAAGGATTGTAAAATTTGAGAGGAAATTTGATTTGGAAATTTTGGGTTTTAATTTTTTTTTTTAAATTTTTAGAGCATTACGTAACATGGCACATGCCATCTGGCACTGAACGTTCTATGTCAGATTGTACAAGTAGCATATTTTATATATATATATATATATATATATATATATGTGTGTGTCAATGTATTAATAATATCAATAATACTTTACGTACTAATAGATTTTACTAACCAGTGTACTAACCTAAAACATAGTACAAGTACTATATGCATAGTACGGATACCATATATAATTTTAACAAAGGTTAGTAAACTGATTAGTAAAATCCGTTAATACGAATAGCATTACCCTAATAATATTGTCAGGTAGTTAATTTGGTTTTGTTTTATTTATAATTATTCCATGGAAAGGCAACAGGCATAAACTTTAGACAAGTTCCAAATTCTAATTCTAAATCAAATCCAGTTGTGAATAGTTTACACGCAAGGCACACGGTTATTATTAATAATATCCATCTCAAAACTGCTAACGCTACTGAATACTGATTCTCCTCTTCACCGTCGTACTCATACATATCACCTTTCAATGCCACTGTTTCTTCCATCTCAGCTGCTCCAGTTGAAGCTGAAGCTGAAGCTGGTACCCATTAATGGGTAAGTTTTCCAATCTTTAATTTATTACTCGTTTAAACATATTTTATGTGTATATATGCTTGTGTTTCATTTTCTTCAGAACCCATAAGGCATATTAATGTTTTAGTGTATAAAATGAGGTGATTAGTCACTGTTTGAAATTATTAGTAAGTTGTGATACCAAATGGTAAGGATGAAACATAGGCATCAATATCATGGAAGCATAATTTGAGAGACCCACCACCACCAATAATACTGAGAAATGGCCCAATTTTTCTTATTTACATGACATATGTTGACATGGACCATCTTAAACCATCATTATATATGACAACTGTCAACAACCCCAATTCCTCTCTATCAACTTACAATGGATCAATTTCTGGCTTTTTGATCTATTTCAGTTGATATCGTATTTTTATGTTTCAAGACGATGGAAATGGGAAAATTTATATAATACTGAATCATTCATTCCATTCAATTCAAATAGGAAACAACCAAAAAAAAAAATAGTTTGAATTAATTAGAGCTCATGTAATTACAGAAAATGAAAGCGATTCAGAAACTCAAAGAATATACACAAATGGAGCCTTCTAGAGTCGAAAAGAAATTAGAGAAACTAACAAACATAAAGTTACATTAAGCGGCGGGGGGCAGTGAAGGAGGAGGAGGAGGATACAAAGGGAAGACTGCGGAGGATGAGAAAACGAACCCGCCTCGGAAAAGGAGCATCGTGAAACAAATGCTCAAGCACTCTTGCTAAAAGCACCATGTACTCTTCCATTAACTCTGCTACAACAGCCACCAGAAACATGTCGATGTCGATGTCGATTTCCTCTCTATTTGTGGTTTCTAATATCTTGACTTGTTAGTCAAATATATATTGGGTGGGTGCTGGGCTATGGATGGTCATATCATGTTTGATTTAGTTTTGGGATGCGATTCTGGTACCGTTGTTTCCAGAGAGTTGCAAAAACTAGTTGCTATCCAATTGTTTACCACTGGCGCCATGTAACCAAACCCATCCTATTTCCAGTGTGCTCCTCACTCTCCACGCGTCTATTTAACATTATCATATGTCATCTCATCTCTGCTTTTGGATTTTCTCTTTCCTGTTTGTTTATTTTCCTACTCGCTCAACTCTCATCCTTATCCTTTCCTTCTTATTTATCAATTAAGAGTAAACTGACATTGCCCTTAACCCTAAATTAATAAATTATATTTTAACCCCTAAATTAGTAGAATTATAACTTATCATTTTATTTTTAAATTATCTTAATAACACCCTCAATCACTGTACACTCTATCTATTTTTGCCCAATCTGGGTTGTTTTCGACTGCGTCGAACCCCCTGGTCACCTATATCACCTTCCCCGTATTTTTTTATCCAAAACCCCTCTAGTTCCTGACTCATTGGCCACTCCAATTGCTGATGCCGTTAGGCTTAGGGTTTCTCTATTCTTCGTCAGATTCTGGTTGATTTCGGCTGTGAAAATCCAATTGGACACCACCACTATGTAATAACTACTTCCTACTCAAATACTCATAAAAATATACATAATAAAATACATGTATAATAACATAAGTAGTTGGACCCAAATTTTTTTTTTATTAAACATATACATTTTTTTATACAAAATTAGTATTATAAACAAAAAACTATCAAAAACTATGTAGACAGTGTAGCCATTCCTCCTCGCATGCCAACGTCCATTCGACCGTGTCCTCACCTAAATCCTGCAAAAACATAGAAAGACAACGGGGTGAGCACAAATAATGCTTAGCAAGTAAACCCTTTAGTCATCTATCCCCGTAACTCTCTCTCTTTCTAAGTCTTTTCTTACAATTCTCATTTACTCTCTCTTTTATACTTCTCTATGTTTTCTCTTTCTGTTTCTCTCTCTCTCTGTTTCTCTTTCTTAGAATTCTTTTCTACTAACTCTCTTTAGTAAGTCACGGCCCCATCTTACCGAGGGCACGACCGGGACTCGCTCTCGCTCTCCGTGATTTCTACTCGTTCTTAGCCGATCGGACTCGGTTATGCATGGATTCGGAACCCTTGGTCATGTGAGTATATAATCTCTCTCTCGGGTACTCTCGGGTATAGTCCTCATCCGCATGCACTCTCACAGGCTACACCACTTCTCTCTCCCATACTCATGCCACTCTCTCAATGCGACGTACATGCGGGAATACTCTACCCATTACTCACAGGTTCCCCATCGCACAACATACTCTATTCTCTTTTTATCTCTTTTCTCTTAATAAAGCTCACATTCAAAGTTCTCTACTCTTTTTCTACTCTTTCTCTAATGCATAATTAATGCATATGGATGATTCATGCTCATTAATGCACTCATGAAATGCACAAATGTAATGTTACAACAAGATAGTCATTCTGCACAGGTCACACTCAAGAAGGCATAACTTGAGTTATACATATCAGATTGCTACGATTTTGGTCTCGTTTTAAAGCTTAGAGACAGGGCTACAACTTTTATGTTTTGGTCTAAACTCAGTTCAATCTGTAAGATGCCCAATATATCCAACAACAAGCATAATTCATCATTAATCTCATCTCAATTTCTCAATAAACATAACACATACATAATTAAAAGAAATCCCTACTCACTTGATTTTCTTAAATCTTAACTTGATTGGATTTACTTACCTTATGGGTAAATGGCTTCTCTAGCACTTCTCCTTCCCTTTTGTATCTTGTCTTCTATCTACAACTTTAAACAATAACAACATAAGACTTTAACAAATCATAAGCAAATTCTCATCTAAAGCAAGAATCATTACCTTAGGATACATTAGATTAAATCTCTACTAAAAATTACTCCAAAAATCCTAAGAAATTCTTGGAAGATTGAGAGAAATTAGGGAATGAGAATGACAGTGGAGATGGTGAAGAATGAAGGGCTTTCAACACTTAAACCCTTTTTAGCTCAACTTACATATAATCATTCCCATTTTGCCCTTGCTCTTTCTTGAAAATTCCATCTATGTCCCTTAGTCAAATACAGTAATGCCCTCATTTTTATTACATTCTCCATGAAATTCTATCTATTTTCACTTCCCAATTTTTCAACTAATTTTGAGTGAAAAGACCATTTTACCCCTAATGAAAGTTTAAGGGATTTTCTTCACATTTTTCTTAAAATAACTTTAACAAAATTCAACTAAGGGCCAACCAACCAAAAATAACAACATGCAAGCTCAAATGAAAACAAATCAATAAACATTAAAGCAATGCAACAATAATTTAATTACATACCTCAAGTGGGGCGTTACACACTGCAACCAACATCTCCAACTCTATAAAACCCCTATGTCCCCAACAACCATTTAGTTGCCATTCGCAGGGCGAGAGTTCGTGTTCATCGACTGTTTTTTGGTAAAGTGGTGGACGGCAAACGGTGAGCTATCATGGCTGGGAAGGTTAGGGGTTTTGTAAGGAATGATGCGAGGAGTCAAATGGTAGTGGTGGTTGAGGTTGTCGTCGTTTAAAACGACCAAAAACCTACAAAAACCAATCACATGTCGTGACTGCTGTGGCCAGCAATCGACAAGTGATGAGGGGTTGTGAAAGGTAAGGTTTTGTAGAGGGGAGGATGGGGGTTCAAATGATGGCGACAAGGGTGATTTTGGGTGGAAGAATTGTCGAAAAAAAGGCTAAAAGCGTCGAAGACGCTATCTGCTAATGTGTGTCGGAGGACTGTTAAAGGCAGCGATCTGCTAACGTGTGTCGTTCATGCAAAATGACTAATTCGCCCCTTTACCGTTACATCAAACACTTTTCCGTAACTTTAAGGTTGAGAATCTAGAATAAATGTAACTAGGGATACCAACTTAGGATTTGATCAAACGGTGGAAATATGCCGTTTACTCATTAATTAATTACTACTATCTCTGTATTATTCTACTTGTTGTATACCACCTCTCGCCTAGCCTAACTTCTCCTTTTTCTTTTTATTTATTTCATAAAAACAATTACCTGTACCTACGAACATAGGGAAGGTCAATGTTTCATCATACCACTCCATTGGAAGTTCAACGTTTTCCTCACTCATCGTCAAGGGGAATATCTATATACTTACCTCCTCATTCATATATTTATCATATACTTTGTATAATTACCTTCCACTGATGCAATGAAAGGCATAACCTCAGGTTAAATGACCTTCCAGTGGGAGCTTAATATAAAACATTTACTGTTCAAGACTTGTGTTTTTTACATTTCAAAAATGCAGTATTGAGATAGGAGTTACTTAAACTACGTCCAAAACCCAAACTACAACATCACTCTCATTCATTGGACTCGTAATTAAAAAACTCCTATTCATAATTAAACAAATCTTCCATTTTGTTGTTATCCATATAACTTCACCTATTAATGACAAATTGCACAACTATACTGGCAAATATACCAAACAAAAACTTCCTCTCCTAATGCTAAGTATCATGTATAGCTAACATCACGCTACGCTGAAAGAAAGTACAAAAACTTAAAGTTACACTAACAGTAAAGAGTCCAATATAGAATACTACCTAATCTACACATAATATGCGTATACATAATTTTTACAACCCCATCCCTGTTTCCTACACATAATATGCGTATACATAATTTTTACAACCCCATCCCTGTTTCCTACAGAGTAAACATTCAGAAGAACAACAAACTACCTAAAGTTTTCTTAGCGCAACATCAAGATGTTTTGACGACTCCATATCCCACTGAAGAATGTGAAGAAGATCACGACTAACATGACACTAACCAAATAAATTAATGAAGAACTACGACCAGGGTGCTGTGGAGCTCCATCTGGAAATACTGATGGTCCTGTCGTGCTGCTGCCGGATTCACTATCCCGTTTCACCCTTAACCTCACCTTTGCAGAAGGTTCTTCAGTAATTTCCCTACTTTTATTAAACTTGAGTAGCTGGCTCTCTCTATCCTGCTCATCTGGAGTAGGATCATGGTCTGTAGCTTTATTGACCTGCATGAGAAAATATTAGACTCAATAAGTAGTGAATGCATATCAGACAAGACCTTCAAACTTATCTTTACTTGGCAATCCTTACCTCAGTGAAGGCGGATTGAACTTCATCTTCTTCTTTACTGTGACTCACATCTTTCTCCTCGCTATTGCCAACTGGGGGTGTAGTAAAAACTTTCATCTGCAAACGAAGTCTTCTTGGAGCAGTGCCCTGAGATACAAAGTTGTATGAATCTGGTGATTGTTGAGGCTGCCGAGTTCTGATTTTGATTCCAGTGCCACCAGCAAATTCACCACTGTAGTTCACAGGATTCTTTGAAACATTGAACAGTTTCAAAATATATCAGTTAGCATTCATCTATGAACAAATTTTTAAACTAAACAGCCTTGAAGCAACAGATTCATAAGACAATGCCAGCAAATCACACTACAAAGTTGTACAAGCTAAACATGAAACAGCTAAAATGACCAACATAGTCACTTACAAGCTACTGGGGGGTTATTCATTTACCTGTAAACGAGACATTTCAGTATCTGTGTGATTGTATGTAGCATTGTCTTTGGCAAAAAAGTTTGCTGGTGATAGTAGCTGTTGACCTGATGACAGCAGTTCACTTTCAAGAAGCAAGTCCTTTTGACTGCTTGAGTCTTCACAGGAAACCTCATCATGGTTATTGAAGACCTCATCTAACTCAGCGAAATCAACATCCTGTTCACTAGTGCCATCCTGAAAATTCAATCCATAATTATCATTGCCAAAGTCACTGGCATAGGGTGAATCTATGAATGGTGCTAGCTCTGCATAAATTTGTGATTGCATTGGAGAGAATACTTTGCAATCAATTTGACCGTTGCTACGCTCATGTAGATAGGAATTTTCCTCCAGAATAGGATATTCCTAGAGTTAAAAGCACAAAAATATAATCTTCAGTTGATGGGATGTATCGCTCATACTGAAAAACTAGGATAATAGGTACAAGAAAGATAAAGAACAGTAAATAGAATCAACTTCTGACCTCAACTGTAGTGGCTTCTACTGAAAGTGAATGTTCTTCCACATCAGAAGTCATATGACTATTGCAGCAGCTCTCAACAGGTATAGCACCATTACCGTTGGTTCCATAATCAGATATTGCAGTCTCTTGAACAAGATCAGAGGAGGTATCCTCAGGCGAAGATTTGTTTGTAACAGGAGATCCCGCTTGTTCCACTTCATCATACTTGGGAACATCATTCTTCTCATCTGATTTTCTAAACAAGCGACAGAGGACAAAAGCACCCTGAAAATTATGACAGAATCACATAATAAGTTACAGCAACTGAACTTGAGCATGAACATTGGCTGCATCCAAGTGAACAAATAATTCAAACCCTAGCTTATCGTAATCATAAAATTAAACGTATAAATGATCAAAATCAAGCACAGGGGACATCAAAAATCAACCTATAACTAACCAGAGTGGAGATATGTTAAGTAAAGAGAAGTAAAGTGAGGTAACCTGGCCGGGTTTGGTGGGTTGGAGATCTTTATCAGTGGCACGATACTCGTGCATGATCCAGTGGGTACGCTCACCTTTAGGAGCACGACCTCTATAGAAAACCAAGGTCTTCTTCATACCAATAGAAGTAACAGAGCCAGACTTTCGAGAGCGTATAGTCCGATCCTTACCCGTAGCTTTCCAGTATCCAGCGTCAGTAGCACGATTCGAACGAAGGCCGTTGGGGTATTTTCTGTCACGCGGGCAGAAAAAGAACCATTCCGGATCATCCGTCTTTATAACTGATAGACCTATTTTGACACCAACAAAAACAAATAACGAATCTTAGTCAGCACTAACAAGAATATTAATAACAAGAAGAATTATTCATTATTCCTATGAACCTTAACTATGAAAGGAATTATTATTATTAGAGTGCGGAGCATCAACTTGAAAGAAATACCAGGCAAATCCCAAGGCTCCCATTTGCAGACATCGATTTCTGGTATAACCTGCACCTCGGAATCACGACCATTGATCTTTAATCTGAGGTAGTGGTTAATTAGTTCTTCGTCGGTGGGTCGAAATCGGAAACCCAAAGGCAGTGATCCCATTGACAGCACTGTCATGTTTCTTCTGAAGATGATTTTGGTTTCTCAGTTTAGCTTTAGCAAATACCAAATGTGTGCGTCTTTCTGACCCGCGTTCTTACTAAAGTGCAAAGAGGCTTACGCACGTACGCTGCTTCAATCCGCGTTTCTCCAATACAACTCTGACACGTTACACATAGTAAACCACGTCCCCATTGCCTTTTGCTTAACCCACAAGCTTCCAGATTCCCTTTCCTCTTTTTTCTACCATAAAGTTTATATTACACTGTTGAACGTCACATGATCATTTGCATTTTCGGCTTCTTTTTTACCAGATATTTCTTTAACACAGTTTCTAAAATCAGATATAACTATTTCGTGGGTTATTGAAACAACCCCAAATGACATAAAGCTTCTAAAATTAAATACCAACCCCCCAGTTCAAAACTTTTTTAATCTTGTTTTCTATGGTCCAAAATATTTACAGCAAGGTCATGGGAGAAACTGCCAAAAAAGATGAAAGGAGGTAGGGTCACATCAAATCTAAAGTAAAATATTCTCCAACCACATGCCTCTTTTACTTTATAACACATTGAATTTGAATGTGGAGTCCTCTACGTTTCCCAAATCGAAATCGGCAATCTCCATCTCTTCATTTCCCATCTTCCAAAAGCCCCCAGAAAACAAAGGAGCCGCCAAACGCCGGAATTGACTTTAATTTGTACATTTGCTAGTGCGTTTGGACCACCACTTTAAATCCACCATTAGAATTTAGAAGCCATATCATTAATGCATTTTGTTGGCATCACATTTCATTACACTTTTTTTCCCAATAACATACGAGCAAAACATAATTGAAAATAATAAACTTATATGGATTTACGCTGAAATCACATTGATCTGAAGGTAACCCATGATTTTCCCACTGCAAATAATTTACAGCTACCATAACTTCTTAGACCACTTACTTATAACTGATCGAAATAACAATCATACTAATATACTATAACCTTAAGTACATGCATCGTGATAACAGCTCCTCCAGTCTATTCTGATAATGATAAGTGATAACCTTTTGAAATACTGTACCATTCATTCACATCGTAAAATAAACAGCTATCACTCTCACTCACGGCAAAGACCTAAAATCATTTTATGGTTATCCACATAGTCGCTCCATGTCAAACTTTATAATTTCTCAAACCAATCAAGTAGATGTTGTTTCAGTATTCATCAGAAGGTGCACCAATGTCAGCAGCAACCAACAATGGTCCCCTCATAAAACAAATAAAAAGTGAACAGTTATAGATATGTGGACAAATCAAGATTTCAATTTTTTTGTTCTAAACTTCATTATATACAGATTTACCTACAAAGCGGGATGGTATCCCAGGTTCACATTTGTATCTACTCTTTGCACAACTCTCCTCAAACTCCACTCATGGCAAAATTCCAGGGCAAGACGAAGTGCAGTCCCAAGTCCAAGCACAACAATGACACCTGGACAATATCTCTCAAGTTCAAAATCATCATGCATATTTGGCTTCTGGGAAGAATAATGATTTGCATACCAGCAGATAGCAAGTGTAAAGAAGTGAAATATATACCTATTATAATATTGACTGGCAGAGCAGAGACACCAAGTGTAATTGATATCAGCACATCCAATAGGAGACCACCAATTAGGATTGAGAATGCCACCCAAAGTGGACTAAAGCATCCCTGTTACATAAATAATTTGATGTTAAACCAAAGTAATCAATACCATATTCATAACATGACCAGAAGAATGACACATAAAATAGGCCACCATCACTCCTACCCTTTCACGATTTTGTGATCGAAAGGTTTGGTCGATACTCCATACCAAGTAATTTGTCTGCTACAAGAAACACAAGAATAAAAATTTACAGAGATCAAGTAGAAACTGCAAATGCATATTAAAACAAAATTCATAATTTTGGCACCATTTGCTGTTCTTGCTTTGCAGTAAACATATTGTAATAAATATTAATGCCTCTGTCGATGATGGGTACTGCCATTCACTTATACACATGGTTATGCTTTTCACATCCAAACATTTTATGATACTTGTCACTATTGTGTATCTTGGTCCAAAAACAGACGCCCAGCCATTGAACAAACACAAAGTAGACACAGTGCTAGACTTAAAAAGGAAAAAAGAAACATGTTACATGTTACAATATCTTATTTAGTTCTAATGCCCAACTCAATTTATGCTTACAGCTCGAACAAAACAGTTTCAAAACAATGGGAAGAACTAGCATCAAATGCCAAACACCAGGCATGTATTTAACTAATCACCATAAACAAGGTAACTGGTATCCTCAAATTTCTAAGAAAAGTTTATGTACTTAATACAGAGAATACTTACACCTGGCTGGGTCTCTGGAGGAGGTACATTTGCAGCAACCTCTCTGCAAAAATTCACAAATTTTATGATGCGTTTAGAAACAAACCAACTTGAAATCATGAATGATTTTAGAAAATGATTACTGGCAAATCTCGCATTTGTTTGATCCCTTGGAGCGAAACCAAGTGTCTATGCATGAACGGTGGGCTTTTGCAAGACCACCTCGGCATTTGCATCCAAGATCTATCAGAACTTCTTCCTTGTCCTGCTGACAAACTCTGAAGAACAAGAAACAAACAAATATGGGTTATTGCCTATTAGCCTAGATGACAGTCTTAAGTTCTTTGTCTTAAATCATAAAGACACCTGAAAAAAACAAAGTCAGACAAAGAAGATTGTTGAATTATTGTATGCAACTGATTTTTCCAGCTAAATCGAAGACCAATAATAATTTGACGATAGTGATAACTATTACCACACCAGTATAAAACACAGATGAGCATTTAACATATCGTAATAAAATTGGGCCGAAACAAATTATTGGCAAATTAAAAAGTTAAATGGGAACCTGCATTGTTCATGAGAACTGCCACTTCTTGACAAGTAACCCTTCTTGGGAGATAAAACCAGAGGCAATTCATCATTAGAAGAGTGGCGATGAGAGTCACCGTCAGAAATCACAATGGTAGGCAAAGTGGGATTGTCCTCAACACCAGAAACTTCGTGATTGTTGTTTCCCTGCCTTTCAAGGTCTTGTTCAGCATTTGAGCCCTCATGCTGCATCTGAATTAAATACAACAAAAACCCATAAAACCCTAATTCATAATAAAAAGATTGTGCAGCTACATACATATCAATTAAAAAGGAAAATTAATATTTACAACTCCACTAACCTGATGAGATGAAGGTTTTATGTAGAGAAGTTCGGATAGATAAATCGAGGTTTGGGAATTTTAGGCTGTTTTCAAGGATTAAAATTACCCAACTAATTCATCAATCTTTAGAAGTGACGCAACGCCAGCGGTGAGTTGGGCGCTTCTTTCGTATTTGATTTCGCAGTCAAACAGTTTCCCAATTATAAGTTATACCATTTGTAAATGCTGTAATTTNTGCATCTGAATTAAATACAACAAAAACCCATAAAACCCTAATTCATAATAAAAAGATTGTGCAGCTACATACATATCAATTAAAAAGGAAAATTAATATTTACAACTCCACTAACCTGATGAGATGAAGGTTTTATGTAGAGAAGTTCGGATAGATAAATCGAGGTTTGGGAATTTTAGGCTGTTTTAAAGGATTAAAATTACCCAACTAATTCATCAATCTTTTGAAGTGACGCAACGCCAGCGGTGAGTTGGGCGCTTCTTTCGTATTTGATTTCGCAGTCAAACAGTTTCCCAATTATAAGTTATACCATTTGTAAATGCTGTAATTTATACCTGATATAATATTATTAGTGCTTGAACATGTCTGAGATACGACTGGCGCCGGTGGCTTAAACTATTTTAAGGTTTACGCTGTTGATTGAAGATTTGATAAATATGGATGGTTAACTCTATGTCATTATCCTTTTACCTACCTCATCTAGCAATGGGTGAGGCCCATTAGCCCACTTCGTTGCGCCGCACTGTCACTTTAGATTTTGTGATCTACAAATGGGTCCAAATCCAATGTGGCCTGTTTCCATGTTGTGAATAATTTGGAAAATGGACATCGTAGCTGTATGTCCAATTCCCAACTCACCGACACTCTTCCTGCAATTTCAATGAAAAGATGTTCGTAAGTTTTTGACAATTATAGTAAAAGAAGGTAGTAGGATGATTCTTTCCTTGACAGAGAACTAACAATAACAAAATGGAGTAAGGATGACAAAAGCTTATAACAAGTACATGAGATGAACTCCTTCCCAAGTCATTCTCCTCTAAGGAATAAATTAAATTCTTTTATTATCATTGAAGGCACTACCTTCCTTTATTCTGAGCCCATATTTTCATATATATAATATGCATCCACCTCCAATCCAAACCAACTTTCAACTTCATATTTGTTTCATACAAACAAATTAAACATCATGCTTTCAGAAACAATGAAGCCCACCCACCACTCATCAAGTGAAGGAGAGAAACATCCGCATACTAAAGAAGTGAGAGACATGGTGAATGCAATCACTGATCGCATGACTGATCTTCACAAGACTGGTTCAAGTCTCCACAATGAAGACGATGATGATGATCATGGTGTGAGAATCATCACTCTTGCTGGAACTAACACTGGTGCTAGTATGCGAAGCGAGTTAGATGATAAGCAAAATGTTCATCATGCTTTGTCACAAGGTGAGGGTGAGCCAATGAATACTTATGTCAACAGCAACTTCCAATCAGTCAATAACTCAATCATGTTCAGTAGCCAATACAACACCAATGATCCTGGTGTTCACATGGACATCACTGATGTTTTCGAACACCAGGCTCATCAGAAGCCTGATAAGCATGGAAAGAAGGGAAAGAAGAAAGATAAGGAAGCCTTCAAAAGCGACCAACAAACCGAACAGTCCAATTGATCCACCAATTGCTTCTACTCTTTTACTCGTATCTCATAATAAGTTTTCATTTATACTGCATGTTTCCAGTTTGCAAGGTTGAAATATTTATGTATCAGTGTGTGTACTCTCTTTGGAGTGTTAAGCTTAACAATAAATTAATTGTTTTTGGCGTGGTCATCAAACTCTGGTTTCATCTATGTTAACTCCAATCATATAACTGCATTTACTTTTATATCAATGCTAAATCATCATTAACTACATCAGAAAACAATCCATTATTGGGAAACTTACTTATTTCTTGTCAGTTCCAGCCAAAAGACTGGCTTTTCAGAGTAGTTACTTGGAACCATATCTAATTCAAAGCAAACAAGAGAAAATATATAATCTGTTAAACTGTGTCTTTACATACCAGGTGAACAAATTGTATGATTTGCTATTTTATTCGTAATACAAGTCTATAAAATACCAAATTTCGTTATGCAATGGGACAGAAGTTGGTTAATGCAGCATATCCATTGAATCGCTTCGAGCTTCCTGCACAAGCCTCATCAAAACAAAAGATTGTTTCTCATTCGCAAAGAAATATAGAGGATAATTAACAAAAATCTCCTTTTATGAGTATTGTAAACTCATTTTGACTTCGGTTTCCTTTTATATCTCTGTTTTCCTTCTTCCCGTAAGACTTCTAATAATGATTGGTTATCAAGAAAAATGAATAATAATTAGGCATTAGTATTCTGTTTATGCTTCATTTAAGGTTCAAGTAGCATTGTACTCTAACTATTACGTATGGGACTGTTGCCATTTCCATCAGATACCCCTAACTGTTGGAGTTGTCGACTACTTCAGCATTAATGGGTAACGGAGACGCACTCGGGGGTCCCACTGACCGGNTGGGCAGTCATCTAGTAGCCCATTTGGGTCCCAATCAGTCTTTGAGCAGACCAACAATGCAAGTAACAATCCTTTTGCTCCCAAACCATTCGGTACCACAACCCCTTTTGGTCCGACAACAAGTTCAATGTTTGGAGGTACTTCAACTGGCGTATTTGGTGCTGCCCAGTCATCTTCACCTTTCTCATCCGCAACGACCTTTGGTGCATCGTCATCACCAGACTTCAGAAATTCAATGCCTGCTTTTGGAGCATCTTCCACTCCTGCTTTCGGTAGTTCATCAGCATTTGATTGTATGTATATGGAATAGAATGTTCATAAATATTTACACATTTATTTGTTGTTGTATCCACTTTTTACTTAATTTGTTGATCTTATTTTTACTTTTGAGAAAGATGGTTATTGTTTTCAGTTGATAGATGTCTTGGGTGCCAGTGATTTTGTAATGGAGTTTTTACAAGTATTTTTGCCCTTTTCTTTTTGTGTGTACGTGTCATGACTAATTGTTCAAGTGTAAACAGGAGACCATTTGGCTTATGAGGGGGTTGGAGACGGATATGTTCTTCTAACATTAGTGACATTGTATGTTTATTGTTATTATAATATACTAAATCTCCATTAGCTGATTTTCCAGGTGTAGCTTATGAGATTTTTAATGGAAGCAAACTCACTTGTTTACTCCATTGGATTTTATTGTATGAATGTCTCTTGTATTTTTGTTTATCTCCACCGGACAACTCCTTGCCATTTTTTTTTCCCAATAGAAGAGGTCATTGAACCATACTAGGAGACTATCATTTAAGGTGGTCATTCTACTATGCTGGGAATTTATCATTTAAAGAAGTTATGATTATTATTAGACAAGGGTTATCTAATCCTTAGCCAAAACTTTCCTTGTTTAGTGGTATACAAAGACTAGATGCCGATACCCCCTAATATGATAGGGTTCCCTTGGTACTAGTAATTAAGTGTGAACTTCTTTGCGATGACAGAAAAACATAATGTGTAAACACTTTCCCCTTCATGTCGTGCTTTTCCTAAAATTACGCAGCAAAGAGAAGAAAGCAGGATTCCATATGCCAAATAATGAACTTTGGAATGATGATTACCCCCTTATTATCCGTACTATCCTCCTTTGCAGGCAGCTGACATTGCCCCCACTAGCTCTTTTACGGTCTGGAATAAAATCTTAAAGTAACATAGCCACCCTTCATTCAGCCCTTGGCCATATCACCATAGTATATTATTGCTGCTCAGATTTACTCAATTTATAACCAAATCATTTAAGTCCTTTCTTAGTTAGAGGAATCACCCTATTATACTATATAAGAGTAACCAATGCAGTTAGTGCGAGGACCATTTGGAGCAGCCACTTGCACTGCACAACCCTTCAATTTTTTACTTCCATGAACCTTTTTTTTTTTTTTTTTTAATTAATTATAGAAAGTTATATCAGGATAAAGAAGGAAACACTTAGTTGGATACTTGGGTTGGCAAGATTTCATTCAATATTAAAACAAGATCAAGCTTATGCGCGCTCTCATTTTATCTCCGCCTTAGGACAGAACTAACATGTTGATAACAAAGTCATTTTCTTGATAGCATCTGTCATTAAGAGAAAACAAAACCTCTTTATAGGTTTTCTCAGTGGATTTATTAGATGATATCATTTCAGGTTATATAATCTGTAATATACATTTTGTCACTGTCACTCTGTCCATTGTTTTTGTAATTGGAAAACCCATTTATGGCGGAGTCGCTATCATTTTCCCTTAGTCATATGAGCCTGCCCATCATCCAATCAGAATATTCTTCAAAATTTAACCTGCCTATCGTTGTCTTTGGGTAATGGCTCAAACATTGCCCATCATACACTTCATCAACTTAAACGAGTGCTGCCCAGTGCCTGTTCCTTTCTGTGGGAATATTTGCAATCACTCCATTACAAGGTTATGAAAACTTTATAATTGGAATTTTACACGTTGGTAATCCACGAATCTAGTTAATATTATTCCTGATAAATTAGATTTTTGACTAGTTTGTGAGGGAATTTCAGAGTTATTATCAGATCATGACCAGTCTTCATGATATATGATATAGGGTTGGCACAAAGGTGCCAATTAGTTGGCAACTTTTTGCACCTAGAAACTTGTGGAACCAAAGCTTAGAGTGCGTATTATGGAAACGGCAAGCACATGATATGAAGCTTACCTAATTAAACTTCAGTCTTACAGTTGGAAAGTTTAAAATATACAGGACACTTGAAAAGAATATTATCTAACTAGCTGCCGATTATTGATATGTTGATACAAGTTATATTGTAAAGGGAATATATAAAGAATTACGTAAATGCAATCATGGTATGGTAGATCACCCTAGCACAGAGACATATAGAGAGAGGATCCCAGAAGTGTTACTATTAGCACCACCCCAACCGCCCTTATTCTACAATGCACAAATGTGGCTCCGATGACCAAACACCTTCTTGTCTCCATCAATTTGAATTATTGGTGGCATTCTCATTGTATATTTGTTGACAGTTCTCGAGGGTAGTGATCGAATCGATTGTTGGTTTCACTTGCCCTAGAAATCGGCCATGCAGATGTAGGATTTGTTGTAGTATAAAACCATTCTCAGGGACATGGTTCATCTGTGTGGCCCAAGTTACTTGATTGCAGCTGGTTCACTAGACCATGCCATGTTGCTACTTGATGCATCTGTCCTGGTGCTGGATGATGCCACTGAACACCAACCTGAGCTGCTGCCTCCGCCACCTCGTCCTGACCGAGATCGTGGTCCATGAGAATTAGGTCGTCAGATTTATTACCCACAGGCCCTGAATTACTACCATTAATAATCCCACCCTCACGAGGAATAACTATGTGTGATTTACTATTAGTGGCAACAGTATTATTAGGCTGAGGTTGTAGCCTAGAAGCAGAACTAGGTCCCTTGCCTTCAAATAACTTGGCCTTAAGCGCACCAAGTGCCCTCAGCTTCGGTGGCAGGCCCACAAACTTCCTCAAATGAGAAAGGCTCTATATTATCAACCAAAATACGATTAGAAGCAGAGTTAGATTCTGATTGAGGCAGTTCGAAGTTGGTGCGTGCATTAGCACCGCGTAAGGCCCTGGCAGCATCATCATAGGCTCTTGCTGCTTCCTCTGCAGTATCAAATGTTCCCAGCCACAGCCTGACCTTTTGCAGAGAATCTTTGATCTCTGCAACCCATCTCCCAGATGGCCTCTGCCTAACCCCAACAAATCTATGGTGACCCCTTGAGGAAGACTTCCTCCTTCCCCTGATATTGTTTCAGAACTGCTGCACCCATTTTTGAAACCAACTGATTATCTGACCTACTCCACCAGATTTATAATGGTGTCCTTGAAATGGTATATCCTCCTCCATAAGAGTACAAATCAATATGACAATCTACCTATTAAATTACTTACTGTATCTGCTACAAATTATTGCAGGCCATGTTGTTTTCATCGATCTATATTATTAAATTAGTAAAATAAATCAAATCAAGTTTTCATTGCACACCCGTTCAACATTTGATGTGAAAATTAACTAAATTTTCACTTAAAAGTGGACACCATATTTTTCTGAGTATGGGCTATTTCGAAAGAAAGGCATGAATCCATTTTCTTAGAATAAAACAGCCCATTGAAATAAGGGGTGCCCTGATACCTAAGAAGCCTAGCCCACTGTCTCACACATCTATTCACGTTATATTTTATAAATGATTACCACATCTCCGATGGGAACCAAATTGGTGTCTAAATTTTGATCCAACGGTATACCAAAATTATACTAAATTAGTGTGAATGAATATTGTCACACCAATTTAGTGTGAACTATTCATCTACCACAAACATTTTTATTTTCTTGTTTTTGTTTTAATTTATATTTATTTAATTTGATTATTATTATATTTATAATGATAAATTTATAATAATTATATAATTAAAAAAATGATAAAAATTAAAAATTCATTTATGCAAGTATTAAACTTAATAACTCAAAAATAAATTAACACTAATTTAAAAAAATAGAACATAAACTAGAATAATAATTTAGTATTTGGTAGATTAATTCTGAATCCTCTAATATCATTAAATATTAGAAAGACTGTGCATGTTTTTTTTTTTTTTTTAATGGCATTTTATATTAGATGTTTTTTATTGATTAATAATGTTTATTTTATTAAATTAGTATAACTTCAAAGTTATTATTAATTATAAAATACATTATCATAATATTAAAATATTACTAAGAATAAATTAACTGTTGAGAATTAATAGAAATAAAAAAAAAGAATATTAAAAGAATATTATTTTAGTGTAATATTTGGTATAATGTATTAGAATACAATAGTAAATTGTGTAAAAGTTACACCGATTTTTGCGAAAGTTGCCTAATTTGGGGTTTGTGGTTGGAGATAGTCTAAAGTGATAATCCTCCTTAAACGAATGATATGACTTAGCATTATATGCTCAAGTAAATTAAAATTGCATTTTTTTTAAAGCTTTAGAGCAATGTTTTCATTTCATAAATAAATGACTAAAAATTTAAATTATGATTCTGGTAATAAATAAAAGTAAAGGTTGATAACATTGAATATGAATAATTTATATTTGTGGTATCATATTCATAGGCTTTTTCTAAAATTAGAATTGTAAGATAATAATAACAAAATTGGATAATTTAAGATAATTTGGGTATGAAACTCCAAGCTTTTCCCCTTCATTCTAAAGTTTTATAATCCAAATGAATGAGGCAAAGTATAATTTATTTAATATACGGATAATTTCATTAAACAATCGATTCAATTACACAAATAAAATCATAATATAACCTTCTTACCTCTAATCACATGTTCAAATAGTTTTGTGTAACAAATTACATCCTTATTCTTATATTGAAAAATAAAAACTGACCCCCCTCAACATGCTAGGGGGGATGATACTTCCTGTTTTCCCAACTGTCAAGTTTCGAAGCGAACACTTTCCCTCCTTATATGTTTATAATTTTTTTAGTATTAAAAAGGAAATGGAAAATAAATTTAAGGAAAAAAGAAAAAAAAAAGTGGACTTAAAAAAACGCCACGCTTTGTGTGACTATCACGTCTACTTGTTTTATTGATTAGAACGACTGATTTTCTTGTTTATTTTCATGATTTTTACTGTGAGTTTAGTTTGGGATCAAATCAAGGCTGGGTTACTGATTCTGACTGAAGAAAGAAGGAAAGAATAATAAGTGAGAAGACAATGTTCACTCAACTAACCGTAAGTGTTCACTTCACCTTGTATTCTAGCAGATTGCATTTTTTTTTTTTTTTTTTGTTTCCTTGCAAAATTTATGTTGTTTCGCCGATGCTTGCATTCATTTATATTGCTTTTACAACTTAATGTAGTGGGTTGTGTTACTGTCTCGATGTTTTCCCCTTGAACTTGAAGGTATTGTGGTAATCTTTGTAGGTTGTAGAATTCTTCATAGACCATAATTGCTTCTTTTATCATAAATTATGTGATTTGTTGAATTATGTCTAAGGTCCTGTAAAATTAGATGATTTCTGTTGTGTGTGTAAAAATTTTGGTGCTATATACTGATCATTACTACATCAGATTTGTAAATTTTTTTCAATTTTTTTTATGGTCAAGCACTCTTTGTCACTCATCAGATATATTTTGTTAACGTGCTGCCATTATTAATTCAACTGTTTGGTGATCATCGCATATCTGTGTGCGTGTGTTTTCTGAGATTAGTTGAATTACTTATTGGAATATCAATTTAACTGGGGTCATAAAGACGAAGACTAGCTAGTGACTTTTATCTTAATCACTATATATTAATTTACTGTGAATTAACAGTATTACTCATGAAAAAGTAGAAGTTTGGTCTAAAAACTATTGGCCACTAAGAGAGTGGAAGAAGAAGAAGAAGAAGAAGAAGAAGAAGAAGAAGAAGGCATATTCTGATTATATTGCAATATGACATGCAGAAGGGATCACTTACAGCATAGAGGATTGTTATAATTTCTATATTTCCTTTGAGAATCCACATGGAAAGGTTCCTACTTGTTGTCAAACACAAGATGGCTGACTGAATAGCACCGAAGAAGGACATGATGGCAGTGCTTGAATATTGGCAGGGATATCTCTTGCTTATATTTGTTTGAATAAGAAACCAAGAAGACCATAAGATGGTTCCTACGGTCAAAGCTATCATACCAAGAGTCCATCTCTCAGTTCTCCTGGTAGAGTGCATCTCCTTAACACCATCCATGGTTGAAGTTTCAGCTTGCATGTGTGAATGGTTAAGCAAAGGCATTCCTCTGTAGAGAGTCAACATCATAGCCCCGGCAATGCACACCAGAGTACCAACTACTTTGGCTCTTCCACTGTTGTGTTTTATGTTCACACTCTCTAACCTGCAGGGTAATTAATTAGTAGCAAACACAGACAATTAAATTACTTTAATTACCAGTATGAATGAGATGTTAATTACATATTCATACCGAAATGGTAGTGCCACTAGAAATGTGAGTACAGGAACCACGTTGATGAAGGCACATGCAATTGTTGCAGATGTGTATTGAATTCCAAGAAGGAAAAAGTATTGGGTCAATGAACTCCTACAAGAAATAATTATTTAGGTGCTTATATTAACAATAAAAATTAAAATATAATTCATTATAGTAACTAACCCCAGAATTGCACTGAAGAATAGGTAACACAAGATGCGAAGTGTGAGCTTAGGTCTGTTGTTCCTGCAAGCAAGACTCAAATACATAAAAATCAAATAATAATAATAACATGGATTTAGATGATAGTTTACTCCTGAGAGGTTATCCAGTCATGATTTAAAATACTAATTAAAGAGATTATCGTAGCCAGGTATAGCTGCATGCAGAGAAGGATAAATGTTGATTATACACTGAGGTAAACATAATTAATTTAGGAGTTAATAAAATATATATGTAGATTTAGATGGAGCTTAGCTTAAGACAAAGAACCAAAAAATTCCAAAAGAGAAGAGTAAGCAATAATTAGTTGAAGAAGAGTGAATAGTTGATATGTACCTTTCCCAAAAGTATCCGATTGGAGCTAAGAAAATGGTAGAGATGGAGAGGCGGTATGTGATAAAAACCAAATCGTTCATCCCTTGGTCAAGGACTTTCTTAAGAAGAATATTCATAATGGAAAAGGCAAATTCAATTGATATCATAGCAAAAAAAGGTTTCCATTCATTGCAGCTCTTCATCTTAGTAAGACTATCTCTATATGCAGAAAGGCCTTACCTATCTATCTATCTATCTATCTTTCTCTCTATAAACCACTAATCTCGTGAGACACATATCTCAAGTAACTGTAATCTTAAATAAATAGACTACAGTCAAGAATAAGTGGGCAGAAAGCAAGATGAAATTCTGCAAATCACATCAACGCTTTAAGCTACCAACTTTAACAGTAGTTTTATATCTGTTCTCTCTCTTTTTTTTTTTTTTTTTCCTTTTTTTTGCCTTCTTTTGACAGATCCTTTCCAACAGATGGAGATTATTTTATTAATTAAACCAAAAGCATCAATGCATGGTCTCATTCCAGAATGCCATAGTATCAATACGGGCCACAAGTTTTTATTTGCATTCTCTTCCAGTCTTTATTCGGCCTATGTTCTTCTGCTGGTCAAGCTTTTGTGGTGATCAGTGTTACCACTTATGACTCGTGGGCATCTTCTCAGTGCTAGTGTTGCGGAAATAATCGATACCCTTTTCTTCTTCATCACTTCTGTACATTTATAGCATCTAATACTCCATCTTTGAAACTGAATTAGCAGTACACCAGTTCACTCATTTTTACAATGGGGAAAGAACAATATGTCAAATCTTACAAAAATTATTATAGTAGAGTAGATGCTTCCTTGGGGCGATTCAACAGGGGAAAATTTTATTAATTTAATGTATCTTCCAAGCGCCAAACTTTCCTAACCAGTGATTTTAAAATATTCTTCTTGCCAACTTTGAATAGGTTTGGTTCACAACTTCACATCAATCATTCATTCCATCTTGTTTTGAGATTGAAAATATTCCTGATTTAAGGTAGTTTAATCTATGTTTAGTAAACTCATTTTTTCCCACTAGCTTGCAGCTTTATAAATGTTCCCAAAAAAAGCAGTTTTTGTGCACTAATGATCATCTGAATAGGATGTAACATGTAAAATAAATTGGGATGAACAAGTTGGAGTAGGAGATGCTTAAGATGGTACATCTTTCTCTTTGAGCACTTTGGGTTCCCTTCATGTCGTGCTTTTCCTAAAATTACGCAGCAAAGAGAAGAAAAGCAGGATTCCATATGCCAAATAATGAACTTTGGAATGATGATTACCATCCCTTATTATCCGTACTATCCTCCTTTGCAGGCAGCTGACAGTGTCCCACTAGCTCTTTTACGGTCTGGAATAAAATCTAAAGTAAACAATAGCCACCCTTCATTCAGCCACTTGGCCATATCACCATAGTATTATTGCTGCTCAGATTTACACAATTTATAAAACCAACATCATTTAAGTCAACTTTCTTAGTTAGAGAGAATCAATCCTATTATACTATAATAAGAGTAACCAATGCAGTTAGTGGCAGGACCATTTGGAGCAGCCACTTGCACTTGCACAAGCCCTTCAATTCTTTTACTTCCATGAACCTTTTTTTTTTTTTTTTTTTTTTTTTAATTAATTAGTAGAAAAGTTTATATCAGGATAAAGAAGGAGAGAACACTTAGTTGGATACTTGAGTTGGCAAGATTTCATTCAATATTAAAAACAAAGATCAAGCTTATGCGCGCTCTCATTTTTATCTCCGCCTTAGGACAGAACTAACATGTTGATAACAAAGTCATTTTCTTGATAGCATCTGTCATTAAGAAGAAAACAAAACCTCTTTATAGGTTTTCTCAGTGGATTTATTAGATAGATATCATTTCAGGTTATATAATCTGTAATATACATTTTGTCACTGTCACTCTGTCCATTGATTTTGTAATTGGGAAAACCCATTTATGGCTGGAGTCGCTATCATTTTCCCTTAGTCATATGAGCCTGCCCAGTCATCCAATCAGAATATTCTTCAAAATTTAACCTGCCTATCGTTGTCTTTTGGGTAATGGTCTCAAACATTGCCCATCATACACTTCATCAACTTTAAACGAGTGCTGCCCAGTGCCTGTTCCTTTCTGTGGGAATATATTGCAATCACTCCATTACAAGGTTATGAAAACTTTATAATTGGAATTTTACACGTTGGTAATCACAGAATCTAGTTAATATTATTCCTGATAAATTAGATTTTTGACTAGTTTGTCAGGGAATTTCAGAGTTATTATCAGATCATGACCAGTCTTCATGATATAGGGGTTGGCACAAAGGGTGCCAATTAGTTGGCAACTTTTTGCACCTAGAAAACTTGTGGAACCAAAAGCTTAAGAGTGCGTATTATGTGTAAACGGCAAGCACATGATATGAAGCTTACCTAATTAAACTTCAGTCTTACAGTTGGAAAGTTTAAAATATACAGGACACTTGAAAAGAATAATTATCTAACTAGCTGCCGAGTACTGAATATTGTTGATACAAGTTATATTGTAAAGGGAAAATATATAAAGAATTACGTAAATGCAATCATGGTATGGTAGATCACCCTAGCACAGAGGACATATAGAGGAGAGGATCCCAAGAGTTGTTACTATTAGCACCACCCCAACCGCCCTTATTCTCACAATGCACAAACTGTGGCTCCGATGACCAAACACCTTCTGTTGCTCCATCAATTTGAATGATTGGTGGCATTCTCATTGTATTATTTGTTGACAGTTCTCGAGGGTAGTGATCGAAATCGATTGTTGCTGTTTCACTTGCCCTAGAAATCGGCCATGCAGATGTAGGATTTGTTGTAGTATAAAAACCATTCTCAGGGACATGGTTCATCTGTGTGGCCCAAGTTACTTGATATGCAGCTGGTTCACTAGACCATGCCATGTTGCTACTTGATGCAGTCTGTCCTGGTGCTGGATGATGCCACTGAACACCAACCTGAGCTGCTGCTGCTGCTGCCACCTCGTCCTGACCGAGATCGTGGTCCATGAGAATTAGGTCGTCAGATTTATTACCCACAGGCCCTGAATTACTACCATTAATAATCCCAACCTCACGAGGAATAACTAGTGTTGATTTACTATTAGTGGCAACAGTATTATTAGGCTGAGGTTGTAGCCTAGAAGCAGAACTAGGTCCCTTGCCTTCAAATAACTTGGCCTTAAGTGCACCAAGTAGGCCATCAGCTTCGGTGGCAGGCCCACAAACTTCCTCAAATGAGAAAGGCTCTATATTATCAACCAAAATACGATTAGAAGCAGAGTTAGATTCTGATTGAGGCAGTTCGAAGTTGGTGCGTGCATTAGCACCACGTAAGGCCCTGGCAGCATCATCATAGGCTCTTGCTGCTTCCTCTGCAGTATCAAATGTTCCCAGCCACAGCCTGACCTTTTGCAGAGAATCTTTGATCTCTGCAACCCATCTCCCAGATGGCCTCTGCCTAACCCCAACAAATCTATGGTGACCCCTTGAGGAAGACTTCCTTCTTCCCCTGATATTATTCGCAGGAACTGCTGCACCCATTTTTGAAACCAACTGATTATCTGACCTACTCCACCAGTTTTATAATGGTGTCCTTGAAATGGTATATCCCTCCTCCATAAGAGTACAAATCAATATGACAATCTACTTATTAAATTACTTACTGTATCTGCTACAAATTATTGCAGGCCATGTTGTTTTCATCGATCTATATTATTAAATTAGTACAATAAATCAAATCAAGTTTTCATTGCACACCCTTTCAACAATGGATGTGAAAATTAACTAAATTTCTCACTTAAAAGTGGACAACATATTATCTGAGGTACGGGCTATTTTGAAAGAAAGGCATGAAATCCATTTTCTTAGAATAAAACAGCCCATTGACATAAGGGGGTGCCCTGAATAACTAAGAGAGCCTAGCACATTGTCTACACCACTCTATTCACGATATATTTTAATAGGTTAATTCCGAATCCTCTAAGATCATCGAAATATTAAAAAGATAGAATATGTTTTTATTTTTTTTATTTTTTGTGGCATTTTATATTAGATGTAATATTTATTTAATTTAATGAATGTTTAATTTTATTAAATTAGTATAATTTTCAAAGTTATTATTAATTAATAAAATATATTATTCGTAATATTTAATTAATAGATACAAAAATAATTAGTAAAATAAATTAACTGTTGAAAATTAATAGAAAGAAAAATAAAGAGAATATTATTTTTAGTGTAATATTTAGTATAATGTGTTGGAGATACTATAGAAAAATGGTGTAAAAGTTACACCAATTTAGTGTGAAAGTTGCACTAATTTGGGGTTTGTGGTTAGAGATAGTCTAAACTCTAAAGTGATAATCCCTCTTTAAATGAATGATATGACTTAGCATTATATGCTCAAGTAAATTCAAATTGCATTTTTTTTTAAAAGCTTTAGAGCAATGTTTCCATTTCATAAATAAATAACTAAAAATTTAAATTATGATTCTGGTAATAAATAAAAGTAAAAGGTTGATAACATTGAAATATGAATAATTTATATTTGTGGTATCATATTCATAGGCTTTTTCTAAAATTAGAATTGTAAGATAATAATAACAAAATTGGATAATTTAAGATAATAATTGGGTATGAAACCCCAAGCTTTTCCTCTTCATTCTAAAGTTTTATAATCCAAATGAATGAGACAAAGTATAATTTAATTTAATAAACGGATAATTTCATTAAACAATCGATTCAATTACACAAATAAAATCATAATATAACCTTCTTACCTCTAATCACATGTTCAAATAGTTTTGTGTAACAAATTACATCCTTATTCTTATATTGAAAAATAAAAAACTGACCTGCCCTCACCATGCTAAGGGGGGAGTGATACTTTCCGTTTTCCCAACTGTCAAGTTTCGAAGCGACAATTTCCCTCCTAATGTTTAATATTTTTCAGTAAAATAGTATAGAAAATGAATATTTGAAAATTTATTAAAAAGGATGAAATAAATTTAAAAGGAAAAAAAGAAAGAAAAAGTGGACTTAAAAGAAACGCCACGCTTTGTGTGACTATCACTTTACTTGTTTTATTTGATTAGAACGACTGATTTTCTTGTTTATTTTTCATGATTTTTAATTGTGAGTTTAGTTTGGGATCAAATCAGCTGGGTTACGATTCTGGACTGAAGAAAGA